AATATATATTTCAGTATGTTGAGTGTACAAAACATTTTCTTCATTATTCTATGATAAAACAAGTCTAACAAGCATTATTACAACATATATTATTATTTTTTATACAATAGAAATTAGTCGCTACTACATCCGGGTTGAGAGTGTTACAAACCTCAGGAGCTGGTGTAAGATCGTTAAGCTTTAACTACTGAGTTCGATGTCAAATATTGGTTTTGGTACAGGTAGTTCTGCTATACGCGATAATTGTGTTCTTGTAAAATATCATATATAGAAAGTAATAATAGAAATAACAGGGCTTATGGAAAATAGGGTTAGGTGCAGATTACTCGAAATCGAAAAAATTTAGTAGTTAGCTAACACAAGGATAGCACAGTCTAAATAAATGTTACATTCATATCTAATAATGAAATCATACAGTAAATGTAACACTTTACTTGATGGGGAAAGGGTGATTTTGAGGTTGATAAAATCGAGCTTCTCTTCAAGTGTTATATCTCTTTTACTATCATCACGGAAATTCTATCCCAGAACGCTTCTTGTTGATATTCTTCTTTACTATATTACATTATTTAATTTTTTTTTCTTTTTCTAATTTATTGTTTTTTTATTACAAATATTAATGATATTCTATATTTCAGGGTTTAGATGCATATTTATGCACTTTTTTACAATTTTACAATTTTATATTATATTTTTCAGTGTAAGTAGTTTGTATTGGGGCCTGAAACGGATTAATCCTATAACGAATGAACCTGCTTCTAATGAACATTCCCAGTAGATTAGATTATAGCATACTAACCACCACAAAATTGGAGAAATAGTAAGCAAAATCGCGTTATAGCAAATAATGCTCGCTTATACAAATATAGTCCTAATTCATAAATACGGCGTTGGAGCAATTCGTTATCAAAACCAACATAGCAGAACTCACTGTATACCATCTCTGTTTTTGAATATGCCAAACTGAGACTGTAAGTCCAGTTACGGGTACCTAACGACCTGATCCCATAAATGTTTTTGATATCCGCCCCTGGTTAGCAGGAATATTCACCACAGCCGAAAATACCCATACTGTTGTATTAATTATTTTTGTTTTAGCAATGTTGGTTCAGTGCTGTTTATTTAATATTTGTGGAGTAAACAGAGTTCAACTATTGCATTTTTCGCCAAAAGAGATGTCAATCTCTAACGGTTTTTGTTACCTTGAAACCCATGTTTCTTAAATTTTTTTTATAAGATCCTGATTAAATGGTGATTATATCCCACAGCCACATTACACCTTCTTGTTTGTTATGATGAGGTCAAGTGGCTTGGTGTTGCTCCTCTCTGTAATGTGTCATAGAACAGAAAATTACCTCTCAGAGTTTCTACAAAAAGAGTAGTGAGTTATTCAGTCATTGAAAATTGCTTCTGTCATTTCATAGTTAAAGTCCCCTATGAGGTGGATGAGCTTAGTCGACACTGCTGCCTGATGAGCCTGCCTTTGGTTTAATAACTACAGTTGACTGTAGATACACCACAACAAGTAAGCCTCTTTTTAATTTCACCACTGACTTTTCAAAAACATCCTCTCTGTACCCTCGCCTCTGGCTCTAAGATCTTGCCTAGCATAGAAACCACAAAGTTTTTGAGAAAGATTCAGTAAATGCATCCGCCACAATATCAACCACATTCTCAAACATCTCCTGCTTGCAGTCTCTACAACTCCAACAATATTGGGTTGGTGTACCGTCAGTAGTGTTTCAAACTCCTCTCACTAAGGAACGCGGTCAGTATTAGTGTACATGACATTCAAGCCAGAATTTGTTCTCGTAACGCCTCTGCTCTTAGTAGTACCGTAATCGCCCTCCTCCATTCTTTCAGAAGCTGCATATCCAGGTACACTGTATTTTGCAGGGTGTGGTTAGAATGCCATTGTTTACACATCGCCGCCTCCTGGGTGGGAGGTGAGCTGGTGCCTCCTCCTGGAGGGAGGTGAGGTACCCCTGAACCTCGCCGTGTCGTGTTGTTTATTTACATAATTATATCCCCAGTTAACAGAAAATTTATTAAATGATAACACATTACATATGAATTATGACTGATGTAATCGAATGAAAATTAATTATATGATGTTGCACAAGACAAAAGAAAATACAAACTGTATGACAGAGTTGTAAATAATAAAATGTTAATGTTTTAACCATATAAATTATATCTCTATAACATTAAATAATGATATAAACATATCACTATAATATGACAGAGTTGTAGCTTGTTTCGCCAGTGTTTACTTTGAATTTAACAATGTTATATATTTTCATGTACAGCAATCACGATATAAAAATTATATATATGTCCGTATTTACTCTAAGGACCTTCACATAACATATGTCATGACTTGGGGTTGCAAATATGGAAACAGCACTAGATACACTGGAAAATGCTATAAGAAAAATGTATTTAGTTTATTTTTTATTTATTATTTTTTATTAAATTTTCTGTGATATTGTAAGAGAAGTATTGAATTTGTCTCTTCTGAGACTAAATGTAAAATTCAAACACAATCATTAAAGACAATTACAACACCTGTGAGGATAAGCTTGCTTTCCAGCTCACCCTTCTCCCCACCTGTGTGGTAGTACAGTATAAGAACCAAATCCAAAAAAAGTCACAAGAAAAAATGTCACAGATAAAAAGGCACGGAAAACCTAATATAACCTAAGCTAAACCTAACCTAACTTAACCTAACCTAACCTATTGCAATGCCAATATATATATATTGTGTTGTCAATGTGTACAAATCATGTAACTTTTTTTCCTCTGGACTTTATTTCCGCCTCACCATAAGAACCAGACACTAAGGTACAAGTAATGATAAGAACCACACTAAGGTAAAGTACTGTAATGTATAAGAACCAGACACTATGGTCAAGTACTTAATGTATAAGTACCAGACACTACAGTATGTATACTGCAATGTATAAGAACCAGACACTATGGTACAAGTATCAGAATGGAACCAGACACTAAGGTACAAGTACTGTAATGTATAAGAACCAGACACTAAGGTACAAGTACTGTAATGTATAAGAACCAGACACTATGGTACAAGTACTGTAATGTATAAGTACCAGACACTAAGGTACAAGTACTGTAATGTATAAGAACCAGACACTATGGTACAAGTACTGTAATGTATAAGAACCAGACACTAAGGTACAAGTACTGTAATGTATAAGAACCAGACACTAAGGTAAGTACTGTAATGTATAAGGACACCACCAGACACTAAGGTACAAGTACTGTAATGTATAAGAACCAGACACTAAGGTACAAGTACTGTAATGTATAAGAACCAGACCAGACACTAAGGTACAAGTACTGTAATGTATAAGAACCAGACACTAAGGTACAAGTACTGTAATGTATAAGAACCAGACACTAAGGTACAAGTACTGTAATGTATAAGAACCAGACACTAAGGTACAAGTACTGTAATGTATAAGAACCAGACACTATGGTACAAGTACTGTAATGTATAAGAACCAGACACTAAGGTACAAGTACTGTAATGTATAAGAACCAGACACTAAGGTACAAGTACTGTAATGTATAAGAACCAGACACTAAGGTACAAGTACTGTAATGTATAAGAACCAGACACTAAGGTACAAGTACTGTAATGTATAAGAACCAGACACTAAGGTACAAGTACTGTAATGTATAAGAACCAGACACTAAGGTACAAGTACTGTAATGTATAAGAACCAGACACTAAGGTACAAGTACTGTAATGTATAAGAACCAGACACTATGGTACAAGTACTGTAATGTATAAAGTACTGTAATGTATAAGAACCAGACACTAAGGTACAAGTACTGTAATGTATAAGAACCAGACACTAAGGTACAAGTACTGTAATGTATAAGAACCAGACACTAAGGTACAAGTACTGTAATGTATAAGAACCAGACACTAAGGTACAAGTACTGTAATGTATAAGAACCAGACACTAAGGTACAAGTACTGTAATGTATAAGAACCAGACACTAAGGTACAAGTACTGTAATGTATAAGAACCAGACACTAAGGTACAAGTACTGTAATGTATAAGAACCAGACACTAAGGTACAAGTACTGTAATGTATAAGAACCAGACACTAAGGTACAAGTACTGTAATGTATAAGAACCAGACACTAAGGTACAAGTACTGTAATGTATAAGAACCAGACACTATGGTACAAGTACTGTAATGTATAAGAACCAGACACTAAGGTACAAGTACTGTAATGTATAAGAACCAGACACTAAGGTACAAGTACTGTAATGTATAAGAACCAGACACTAAGGTACAAGTACTGTAATGTATAAGAACCAGACACTAAGGTACAAGTACTGTAATGTATAAGAACCAGACACTAAGGTACAAGTACTGTAATGTATAAGAACCAGACACTAAGGTACAAGTACTGTAATGTATAAGAACCAGACACTAAGGTACAAGTACTGTAATGTATAAGAACCAGACACTATGTACATAGAACCAGACACTAAGGTACAAGTACTGTAATGTATAAGAACCAGACACTAAGGTACAAGTACTGTAATGTATAAGAACTACAAGTACTGTAATGTATAAGAACCAGACACTAAGGTACAAGTACTGTAATGTATAAGAACCAGACACTAAGGTACAAGTACTGTAATGTATAAGAACCAGACACTAAGGTACAAGTACTGTAATGTATAAGAACCAGACACTAAGGTACAAGTACTGTAATGTATAAGAACCAGACACTAAGGTACAAGTACTGTAATGTATAAGAACCAGACACTAAGGTACAAGTACTGTAATGTATAAGAACCAGACACTAAGGTACAAGTACTGTAATGTATAAGTACCAGACACTAAGGTACAAGTACTGTAATGTATAAGTACCAGACTTTCACATAACTTATCCTTACTGTAGTGTCTGGTACTTATACATTAATTATAAATAATAATTCACTACATACCTTGAGACCAGCCCTCTTAAGACAGCATCAGACAGCTCTTGTACACTGACATTCATGAAGCGGAGGAATGAGAAACATTTTCTGGTTTCATTCTCTGAAACATAGAATAAAACCTTAGAGCAAAATCAATCAATTCTTCATATAGTTTATACTGTTTACAGGAACAATATTTCACCACAAGTTTGGTAAAGTTTAATGTGTGCAACTGACATGAGAAATGTGATGTTGTGTGGCAGTGAATCATGGGCAGGTAAAGAGGATGATGACATGCTGGCTTGAGAGAACTAAAATGAGAAAGGTGAGGTAGATGTGTAGTGTGACAGTGAATGACAGGTGACTCTGTTCAGAACTAAGAAGGCAAATAGGTATTGACAGTACAGTACAGTACAGTACAGTACAGTACAGTACAGTACATAAGATCGAAAATAAATAAATAAGAAAAAGTAATACTGTTAAAATACAATTTCATTTACCTTTAATGCTACCATAATTCTGCTTCCAAAGTGGAGTGATGGTACTGTAACTCAAATTACATTTGAGGCACATCAGGGATGTTGGCTATTGGGTGAACTAAAATTGTTCCGGACTACGGGAGTTTCCGGACCACAGAATGCCGGACTAGAGAGGTACAACCTGTACTGTACTGTACTATCTCTCTCAGTTCAGCCACAGCTCTATAAACACTGAGTAACAAGCTGTCCAAGGTGATAACTGTGAGTTTACACCAGTGACACACTGTGCATGTGGCAACCAAACACACCCAAGTTCAATTGTCTTCTGCTCCAAGCTCCTCAACACCCACCTCTCTGAGATGCCTGATCCATACTCATTATATACTGGGACTTCAAAATCAATCCCTCATTCTTAACTGACACAGTGGATGAGACGACTCATGTACACAGTCAATCGGAGAATGTAGGCATGAGCCCTAAGCAACAGCCCTTTATCTCAGTAAAGAGCACCACAGGTTTACAGGTGCCTGAAGTGAGTGTCCAGATATCAGTAGAAGAGTAGCCTCTCTAATACTCCTCTCCTGCAGGACTGACTCCAACAACAAGTCTCTCAGGAAGGCCAAAAGAAACATACTCCCTCAGGGGCAACAACACAGAGGAGTGAGTATAACAACTTCCAGTCACATGAAAGCCCATCAACTCCTTTTTTCCCCCATGATTTAACACCTAAAACCCAATAAACTTGTCTGATCCTAAATGTAGCAATGGACTGTTTCTCTCTGAGTAAGAAAATGAAAGAATCATCTATCCAATTCCAAGCCTGATGTATTATCTGTCAACCCCAACATTTGGCATCTGGTTTACTGACAACATTAATACTCTGTTAATAATGATACTGAATTCTTTAGAAGAACTGGCACTTTTGAGAAACAAAAGACAAGCTATTATTATTATTATTATTATTATTATTATTATTATTATTATTATTATTATTATTATTATTATTATTATTATTATTATTGATGATATATCCCTGGGTTGTGTCAGTAAGTTCTGCTACCTGGGTGACATGATCAGTGCTGGAGCTGGTCAAGAAGCTAACTCAGCTGCTAGAGTCAAAAGAGGCTGAAGAAGTTTAGGAAGCTATTGCTTTTACTGACAGCAAGAGAACCTTCTCTTCGCTTGAGAGGAAATATATACTGTATGTAGTGAGCACAAGAAGTGTGGTGTTGTACGGCAGTAAAAAATGGGTGGTTAAAGAGGATGACAAATGTACACTTGAGTGAGACTATGGTGAGATGGATGAGTAATGTAAAGTTGTGAGATAGGAAATCCTGTTCAGAGATAAGAGGGCAGCTAGTGTGGTTTTCAGTAGAGGAAGGCTGAGATGATTCAGGCATGTGGAGAGAATAGCGGTGAACAATTGGGTCAAGAAATGCAGTAGTTTTGAATGTGAAGGGATGAGAGCCAGGGGAGGGCCATGTTACGAGTCCTGTTCTATCAACGAGAACAATCTCTCAGGTTCTCTGTGTTGTTGTTGGATCCCAAGTGTACTCTATGTATATTTACAGTGTATATGTTTTCTACAGGTACACCAAGTACGGGTGATTGTAAAATATGTAAGGTACCTTGTTGACAAGTGTCTGAGTATTGCCATGGAGTTGATATTGGCACTAGTTGTGTGTACTGGAAACACGTCAGAAGTCTTGCATTATTTTAATAAACCTTTTTTATTGTATGTTAAAGGTATTATTTTCCTACAGTGCCCACCTTTATGTTACCCACAACAAGGCCCAAAATGTGCCCCACAACAAGGCCCCAAATGTCACCCACAACAAGGCCCCAAATGTCACCCACAACAAGGCCCCGAATGTCCCCCACAACAAGGCCCCAAATGTCCCCCACAACAAGGCCCCAAATGTCCCCCACAACAAGTTCACCCACCATTTGTCCATATCTCTAACCCACAATATCAATGGGTAAGTTATCATTTAATTATCAAGAAATACCTTTTTTATCTTGCTGGTCAAAACTAACAAGCAACTTTATTATGACAAGGAAATGTATACTCACCTTTTGTTAGGCTGGAGTGGACATAGTCAGCATGAAAGACTGAAAAGCGGTTGTACAACAGGTGGTGTTTACTTGGGCTGGCATCAAGGAAGAAAGCTTCACGGAAGACAAGCTTGGGTATGAGGTAAGGCTCTGGACGTGTGGTGTATGGTGATCGCACCTCTCGTCGCTCCAGAAGCTCGGGGTGGTTGCACACCTGAATGAGTTAATATGCTATTGAGTTGTTGTCTTAATACTCGCTCCATAAGGCATCTTTACGGAGGCGTCCGGGGAATTTCAAAATGAATGCTGCGACTCTTGTTGTCTCGGTGGAGTTGTCAAAATTCTCCGTCCATTGCTAACACAAAATGTTAATGATACTTTATGGAGCGAGTGTACAGGCAGTATTACCATTTTTTTATTACCATTCTTTCACTCAACAAAGAACCTCATTAATTTACACTATACTGTACTGTACTATATAGAGGTACTGAAGGTTGAATTATCCAATAATTTACATCTAAGAAGTAAAATTTACACCACTGTTGTCAGCAACATTGGTGAAACATGTCAGTTTACATGTTGCACTCTGAGGGAGACAAGACAACCACTAACACAGTAAGGAAGACAAGACAACCACTAACACAGTGAGGAAGACAAGACAACCACTAACACAGTGAGGAAGACAAGACAACCAATAACACAGTAAGGAAGACAAGACAACCACTAACACAGTAAGGAAGACAAGACAACCAATAACACAGTGAGGAAGACAAGACAACCAATAACACAGTAAGGAAGACAAGACAACCACTAACACAGTAAAGACAAGACAACCACTAACACAGTAAGGAAGACAAGACAACCACTAACACAGTAAGGAAGACAAGACAACCACTAACACAGTAAGGAAGACAAGACAACCAATAACACAGTAAGGAAGACAAGACAACCACTAACACAGTAAGGAAGACAAGACAACCACTAACACAGTAAGGAAGACAAGACAACCACTAACACAGTAAGGAAGACAAGACAACCAATAACACAGTAAGGAAGACAAGACAACCACTAACACAGTAAGGAAGACAAGACAACCAATAACACAGTAAGGAAGACAAGACAACCACTAAGGAAGACAAGACAACCACTAACACAGTAAAGACAAGACAACCACTAACACAGTAAGGAAGACAAGACAACCACTAACACAGTAAGGAAGACAAGACAACCACTAACACAGTAAGGAAGACAAGACAACCACTAACACAGTAAAGACAAGACAACCACTAACACAGTAAGGAAGACAAGACAACCACTAACACAGTAAAGACAAGACAACCACTAACACAGTAAGGAAGACAAGACAACCACTAACACAGTAAGGAAGACAAGACAACCACTAACACAGTAAGGAAGACAAGACAACCACTAACACAGTAAAGACAAGACAACCACTAACACAGTAAGGAAGACAAGACAACCACTAACACAGTAAAGACAAGACAACCACTATCACAGTAAGGAAGACAAGACAACCACTAACACAGTAAGGAAGACAAGACAACCACTAACACACCAGCACAGTGCAGCAGAGTGTCTGTGTGGCTGGAGACCTCTTCCAAGTTCAGCTCCTGTATTCTTATGGTCGACACACCCAAGATAACTGGTCTAGGTTTACATGAACTGGGGAGTCTTATTACCAACCAAGGAAAGGAAAACAAACCCCAAAAAGATATACATTCGGTCCTATGTGTTAAATAGTTCTATTATATCTGTTCAGATGTAGAACTAAATATTTCCCTCTTTTTTTCTACTGCTCTACCATTACTGTCTTTCTCTATCTTAGTCAATAAAACATTGCTATAACATTAATATTAAAGCCTTGCTCTAGGGGGAAGCTGGGATAAAACTGCCTACCTGTGCACCAGGCTTAGTGTGAATGGGTGAGAGAGACATGGTGTCACCCCGGGAGAGATAGTGGACCATTCAGTCTAAGTCAAACATATAGCACAGTACTGTAGATCTAATTTTCAAGAAGTTGCTTCAAATATTAAACTTCATAAAACTGTTTGAACTGTACAAAATCTGAATTAATGAGGCCATGCTGTATTAAGAATACAGTACTACTTTAAAAATACAACATTCAATGAATCTAATACTGTATGTACTTATAACACTGTGTCAGCTGGATCATAGCAATGTTTGTGACTTTACAGAGAAGCAAACATGACCCTTATGAGAGTGACAGAAAGGCTCCTGTTTGAGGGACCAACTATACATCCACCTTCACCCTTCTGGCCATCAGTGGTTGATATGGGATCATCTTTCCAATACTGGCTGTCATTATTTTCTCCCCCCAAAATAAGGCAACATGAGTGGTGGAATGTAATGCTGGCAAGGAGTTTACGTTTCAACGTTGATTGTATCTGACCAAGCTTTATGACCACCAGCACCACCACACAACACTAAGCTTTATGACCGCCAGAACCACCACACAACACTAAGCTTTATGACCACCAGAACCACCACACAACACCAAGCTTTATGACCACCAGAACCACCACACAACACTAAGCTTTATGACCACCAGAACCACCACACAACACTAAGCTTTATGACACCCAAAGAATCAACTACAGTTCTTCAGTATTTATTCTATTGTACAAATATTTATATTATGATAATTTCCTGGATAATAAACCTTTGTTGATGATCTTTGATAATGTCCACAATTGGGGGAACATAAATTACCTGGTAAAATGATCTTGTAACACAAATATCTTAAGAGAACAAAAGAAAATACAAAATTTCAGTGACCTACTCGACCGCCCTGTGTGACGTCACGTGACAAGGAGGGGTTGACATCCCAGAACTTGTTCATTATATCCCTGTTCTCTTTATAACATCTTTATCACCAGAACATTTCACAGACTAATATTTGCTTCCCCAAGTGTGGAAATTAATTATCAGAGATGAAAATACTGTAGAAAGATTATTATCCATTAAAATATCTAATACTGTATACATATGATAGATTAAATACTTAAGAACTGTAGTAGCTCTCCAGGTGTCTGTTTACCAACGAATCAGCTGCCTTACTACAAAATGACCCAAGGCCTCAGTTGTAAGCTTCCAGTGAACGGACTATTGATATAGTAACCTGTGAGACTCCACACCTGACAGTAATGGGTGTCAGTGTCACATATAACACTCCTCCATTGGTGATGTTTCAATGTTTTAAATAATTTTTCTTCCTCTATAATATAAACTTGTCTCTCTAAGTTTTGAATCTCACTACTACTTTCATATAACCCAGAGGAAAATCTGTAACAAACACTCACATAAATAATAATAGACGTATAAGAGAAAAGCAGTGCCAAGAAATAGTGTTCTTGTGATCTACAATATCTTCATTACCTTATTGCTCTTCTAGACAACAGAGGTGTTAGTGCATGGAAGTAGAATGGTCACTTTGAGATGGATGCTTATCTTTAACCTTTACTAAGCTTCTACAGAGAAAATTAATTGCCTTTCTTGTCTGGGTAGAGGAAATGCTGTTGTGATCAGTATAATACTTTGGTGAGCAAAGGGATCTTTTCTAATGCCTCAGAACTGTCTCTCTCTAGGCACTCCACTGATCAGTCACAGTCCAATAAGCATTAGGAAGAAGACAGAGTTATACATACCTTCCTGAACTGCATGACAAGGTTCATGAGTGATGATGTAACAGATGACTGCTGGGAAGATGGACCCATAGATGACCTCAACAACTCATCAATACTAATCTTATTCTTAAGACCACTGTACAGAAACTTTTGTCGAAGTGTGAGGGGGCAGTACATCATTATCTGTTGGAGAACATTATAGTGAGTCACAATAATTTATACAACAGTCACAATGATTTATACAACAGTAAAAAAGTGAAGATAAATTAGGAGTCAAAGGCCTTCCTCAACAGCTAATTTGTCAAAGGGACACAACTACATCCACAATTGTCAAACAATAACAAATATGTACTTGATATTTGGACTGAGTTCTAAGTTTTAAAGTCAATCAGGATGAAACTGTAAGACAAAGACTCCACATGTTAACAAACTTGCTGATGGAGAGGGATAACACTATACTGTTATGACACCTCTTGTGAGGCAGACATTGGAGATACTGAGCTGTGAAGGAAGTTGGGGGAAGTAAGCAAGTCAGTATAGTACAGTGTATAGGAGCTCTACTGTACAGAGCAGCTTCATCATGGGATGCTCTACTGTACAGAGCAGCTTCATCATGGGATGCTCTACTGTACAGAGCAGAGTCACCACGGGATGCTCTACTGCACAGAGCAGAGTCACCACGGGATGCTCTACTGTACAGAGCAGCTTCATCATAGGATGCACTACTGTACAGAGCAGCTTCGACATGGGATGCTCTACTGTACAGAGCAGCTTCAGCATGGGATGCTCTACTGTACAGAGCAGCTTCATCACAGGATGCTCTACTGTACAGAGCAGCTTCAACACGGGATGCTCTACTGTACAGAGCAGCTTCAGCATGGGATGCTCTACTGTACAGAGCAGCTTCACCACAGGATGCTCTACTGTACAGAGCAGCTTCATCAGGGGATGCTCTGCTACTTGATGAGATAAAAGTAGCATAATCAACTGAGAGAAATATTCACAACACAGGTACAGTACAGTACACAGATACAGTACACAGGTACAGTACAGTCCAGTACAGTACACAGATACAGTACACAGGTACAGTACAGTACAGTACAGTACAGTACACAGATACAGTACACAGGTACAGTACAGTACACAGATACAGTACACAGGTACAGTACAGTACACAGATACAGTACACAGGTACAGTACAGTACACAGGGTACACAGTACAGTACAGGTACAGTACAGTATACAGTACACAGGTACAGTACAGTACAGTACACAGCAGTACACAGGTACAGTACAGGTACAGTACAGGTACAGTACAGTTCAGTACACAGATACAGTACACAGGTACAGTACAGTTCAGTACACAGATACAGTACACAGGTACAGTACAGTTCAGTACACAGATACAGTACACAGGTACAGTACAGTACACAGATACAGTACACAGGTACAGTACAGTACAGTACAGTACACAGGTACAGTACAGTACAGTACACAGATACAGTACACAGGTACAGTACAGTACAGTACACAGATACAGTACACAGGTACAGTACAGTACACAGATACAGTACACAGGTACAGTACAGTACAGTACACAGGTACAGTACAGTACACAGATACAGTACACAGGTACAGTACAGTACAGTACAGTACACAGATACAATACACAGGTACAGTACAGTACATCTTACCTCAATCTTATCAGTAAGTTCATTCTCAACTTCTGTCTTGACTCTCCTCAACATGAAGGGCTTTAAGATCATATGAAGGCGATTTAGATGTTCTGTAACATACAACATTATTATACATGTGTGGAGAACCAACCTCAGCCTCCATGTTATTAAACCAAACAAGTACAGTATGACCCAACTCACCCTCATACACTGAGTATAAACATCATCAGAGTTACAGGGGAAATAATATGCCAAAAGGTTAATAAAGTCTTCTCCTACATACAGTAAGTTTTCAGTGGAATGATTATAATTTTATTCTTATCTTACGATAATAAATATGAAACACTGTACTCCAATACCTGTCAACCATCTTGTTATTTATGTTGGCTTATAAATAGTGTCCGTGTATACTTCATAAGCAAGTTATAAAACAGCAGATGCAGACAAGACAGAAATGGAAGACTAGGGTTTGATATCCCAGTGTACTGTAAAGTACTAACACCTCTTGTCAGTGCAGGGCAGTGCAGTAAAAAAACTCTCTTTCTCTCTCATGTAACACAAACACTGGAAAAGGTTCATGTAACACAAACATAACATTGCAAAGGCTGAACAACTGGGCCAGCACAACACAAAATGAACTAACTGGAATCTACTTAGCTACAGACTACCTTAAAGAAAATGGAGGTGGGGTGATATTCTATGTCTAAAGTTGTCTGAGATATTAAAAGAAATGTGATAACTGGCAAGGAAAAAACTTTCGTGTTGAATTTGTGTGGATTCCGTCCCATGTTGGAATTAGGTATCATGACTGTGCTGGTAGACTCACCAATGAAGCATGTAAGAAAGAAAATGTTGACCGTGACCCTGGCCTGTCCAATGCTGTACTTAAAAACATTCAAGTCAAAATCATGAACTCTGATCTAGAAATGGAGAGAGACCTGGCAGTTGTAGCATTAGTAAATATGAAAAATTTTGTGACAAGAGGTACTGGTATGGCCAGCATAAGGACAGAACCAGACAATGTGATGTAGTCGTGGCCAGAATTAGGCACATCTGGCAAGTAAGTGACGCTGTACCCATACCAGAACACTCAGCATGTAAACTTTGTGATAAACATTTAAAGCATACACTTGAACATTATATCATTGAATGTGACACTGTCAAAGACTTCAGGCCACATGGCTTATTGTATCATGAACTATGTAACCACTACAATGAATCAGGGGTGCTTGAGGACATTCTTGCTGTCTATCCAAAATTTGCTAGTCCACACTGATTAGTCCTCAAATAGAAAATGATTTCTACTGTATATGAACCACTGTCCTGCGTGGCAGTGAACAGTGATATCACCCACATGACTCTCACCATGTAAACTATAAATGAATATGATCTATTTCTTTGTGTATGAACCTCAGTCCTGCATGGCAGTGAGAACTGATAGCACCTTCAGTGTCAAGACCTGACTGAATTACTCAGAATAGGCAAACTGTGCTCCAAGCTTTGCCAAAAAAAAAAATTAACTGTAAAAAAACATAACATTAAGTTACCTGTATTAAGATATCCAAAAGTAGATGGATTATTATTGTAATGAAACACCTCCTTGGTTGACAGTGCCAGGGAGAATGACGGTGGATCTCAACTGCTTCATATCAGTTGGTTTGAGAGACAGTACAGTCAAACACAACCATCGGTCATGAGACATCAGTTAGGCTCAAGAGTATACACTTTTTTATATAAACTTGGGAAGCAGAACACCAACAGGGCTGCCTCTCCTGACTGTATCAAGTAACTAATGGATGACCAACATTATTTACACAACTCACATTCATCTGCCTGAGTAAAACACTTTTAAAATAAAGGTATTTAAATACTTGCAGCTAACATACTTTGAAAATAAACTACAACAATCAAAGTTGATTGATTGGGTAAAATATCTGGTATCACAGCCTGTGGCCATTTGATGCCAAAATTAAACTCAAAAGTTAAAACAATTAAATAATTAAAATAAAATCCTACTAAGTTTAAATACCCAAATTAAAACAATATAAAATCCTAAATTTATTTGAAAATCACAAGCAGTTATGTTAAGTGACTCCATTACAATTACAAATTAAAAAGTCCACCATCAAATACTGAACTTCTCTCACTGAGCACCTTTGAGATGAAGAAGGAGCCATCCTCCTGCTGGCACTCAACCAGAAAACAACTTCTCAAGTCCCATGACTGAGACACTCCACCAAAGTCAGTGGCACCAGGCAGTCATCACAATAGGGCTACAGTCCTCTGGTTATAAGGAAACTGTGGGTGAGGTGAGTGTGACCAACAAGTACACAGGTAAGGGCAGTCCCAAAGTGGCAGGACAACCAAGGATATTCCCAAAGATAAATCTTTGTTGTCATCTCTTAAAACTTGTTGGGAACGGATAAATTGTCCCACTGTAGCTACCAGGAGGTCCAGATGGCTGACTTGACTGTGGGGAAGAAATGTCTGTGAGGGACGGAGCATAAAGGAGCATTACGAGAAGAAGCAGTAGACTTGGCCAGCTCATCAGTGCTCTCAAAACCCTGCACGGACACATGGGCGAAACCCAACAAAAATCCACATTGTGGCCCTGACAACAGAGGACCACTAGCCAGTTAAAAAATATCTAAAACAAGAGGGTGGATGGGATTAAAAGATTCCAGAGAAGACAGTGCTGCTCTGGAGTCACTAAATAGTAAAACTTCCAGCCTTATGGGTGCTGATTTGTTTAAGGGCTATGCATACAGCAGAGAGCTCTGCAATAAAAATAGATGCAAGAGTGGGAAGTCCCCCACTGCGGCTATAATCAAGGAAGATGGCTCCAAACCCAACACCAGCATTGGATTGGGGCCAACTGTAAAAAAAAGGCACTGAGCCATCGTACCGAGTTGCATGTTCCTGGAAATACATCTTGGTGATCACATCATGAACATCAGCCTTGTTCCCTGGGAAGTAACGACAGAAGTGCACCTCTGGTAGGTCCTAGGGGGCTATGGTTGACACTTTCACTGGGTTGACTGGGAGTTAGGGAAGTGATAAACTGTCAACCAGCTCCTGGACACCAAAGCCAAAGGATTGAAGAAGGTGTGGGTGAAGGGTAAATCTATTGTTCATGGACCTATCACATATGGCCTCCCATGTTGGAGATCTAGGGAGATGCCGTACTCAGTACCAGCAGTGGGCCATTATGGACTGCTGGAAAGAAAGAAAGAAAGAAAGAAAGGACTCACTCTCGTCCACATGTGTCTTGTTCTCCACATGCCCCTCAATGTCTTTACTGAACCACTCGTTGAACCACAGGTGAGAGTCAAAGAGTGTAGGCATGATGAAATGCAGCAGAGCCCACAGTTCTGCCATGCTGTTTTGGATGGGTGTTCCTGACAGTAGTAGACGGTTTCTGCAGCTGAACCCCAGGAGGAGCTTCCATCTCTGACTGTTGAAGAAACAAACATTGTTTTTATTTAATTTTTTTATTCATTATTCACTGGCAATCATCACATGTTGTCAGTATTATTACAATGAAGGAACACTTGACATATGAGACAAACAGGTCTAATACTGGAAGAAATTCTATGTTGACCTCTTGAAGAGCTGAAGAAAAGGTACATGTACAATCACCTGCACTTATACCTAGTACAGTGACTGGCACAGTTTGTGAGATGTGGCAGCTCTGTGTTTGTTTACATCTTATTAAAATCCCCAAAATGATCGTATGGAACATTGTAATAGTAGCTAGACTAAGGATGCTAGGTAAGCATTTAACACAGTTGCCACATCTCACAAAATGCACCAGTCACTGTACCAGGTGTAAGTACAAGTGACTACCGTATATCTCTGGATAAGACTCAGTGCCTAGTAAATACTGTAGTTGACATTCTGACATCCAAACTATATGCCAAAGGTCTGGACATACAGAAGAGTTACTACAGTTGTTACTTTACCATACACAGGAGTTGTCTGAACACAACACATCTCATCAGCTGCTCAAAGTAAGGATTTTTTTACAACCCTTCTATCCTTATAATGCAGAACACACACACACACACACACACACACACACACACACAAACACACACACACACACCGTAGTCATGCACATCAATACCGTCACCACTCCAGTGCAAGCCCCAGCAGTCACAGTGGGTGCCCATCCTCTCCAGCTGGTGCAGTCTGCCAAACTCCTGGGTGTAACTATAGACAAAAAACTTGACTGGAAGGCCCATGTAAATAACACAGTCAAGGCAGCCTCGTACTGTCTCTACATGCTACGAAGATTTAGGTCACTTGGGACACCCACGCCAAAGCTGAGGACCATCTTCAACGCCTTTATTCTCCCCAAACTAACGTATGCGTCACCAGCCTGGTCGTCTTCTCTCAACTCCACCCAACAACGTCAGCTAGAGAAGGTACAGAAAAGGGCCTGCAGAATCACGCTCTCTCCACCCTGGAAATGCCATCCCTCAGTGACCTCCACCACCAAGCACTGGAAAGGTTTGGCCGTGGACTACTGCACCACCCTCGCCATCGCCACCTCCTGCCACCTGCAGCCCCCCACCCAACTCGCGCAGTCCGCCATTACAACAAAATTCAGCCCATAAGAGCCCGCACCGATGGATATAAGAACAGCACCATCCCATCTATTGTTAAAATAATAAACAACTCCTGATTTATGTACTGTACAGCCCCGTAAATGTATTCAATGCATATTATGTCATTATGTCTAAATCAAATGTAGGTCTGTATATTTTCAGCCACCGGCTGCAACTCTATTAATAAACCGTTTATTATTATTATTATTATTACACACACACTACTACTACTACTTTTGTTTTTTGTTTTTTACAAACGTGGCCTCCAGCCTCCCCAAATAGCCACACCTTTACCGCCATTTTATTACTTTAAAATTAAATATCCATATACATAAGTTGAGTTAGTTGAACCGCCAATCTAATAATAATTAACGGTTTATTGAAAGAGCATGGCAGCCGGAAGGCTGAAAATATACAGTTACATAATTGGGAAATGGGTCTCTTGATTTACAAATAATATACGAGTAACATAAGTGATACAAATATGATATATAATAACTAGGTGGGGAGAAGCTCAAACTACAGGGCATTTCAGCATAGTGACAGTGCAAAAGTAAGATTGACTGGGAGTGAACACACTGGTTGATTACAAGTTATTGATAATTTTTACAATGGTTAGGACTGGGCTGTTCTTATAGCAATCAGTTCGTGCTCGTATGGGCTGGATGCGGTTGTGGTGTCGAGCAGCAATTCTCGGGCGAGGAATCTCAGGTGGTAGTAGGAGCCAATGTCGAGGATGGTGCAGAAGCTTCTCACCAAAATGGCAGATGAGGTCATGGTGATGATCAGTAAGAGCCGAGAGGGTCAGTGTGTTGAGCGCTTCTTGATATGTGGAGTAGGAAGGGGAGAAAATAATCTTGCATGCCCTCTTTTACACTTTTTCTAGGTGTTTATGTTGTGTGGCATTTAGCGAGGAAGACCAGGCAGGGGAGGCATAGGTGAGCTTGGAAAGTATGAATGTTGAGTAAACACTGAGGAGCTCGGGTGCAGGAACTCCGAGGGACTCGAGTCGGCGGAGGAGGTGGAGACGGAAACTGGAGGATTTGACAACTTCACTGACGTGTGGTTTCCAATTTAATTTGTTGTCTATGGTGATGCCGACGAGCTTAGTGGAATCTACAGCCTGGAGTGTGTTGAGACCTAAAGAAATGGAAGGGGGTGGGACAACGTCAGAGGAGAGGTTGATGTGCATAACCATGGTCTTGGTATGGTTGATGGTGACGTGGTTGCTGGTGGCCAAGTTTTGGAGACTGTTCAATAAATCTTGAAGGGCGGTATAGTCGGGAGCATAATTGTTGACGCTGATCCCAATGGTGGAGTCGTCGACATATTTTCAGAGAGCAGGGGTTTCTCTTAGGGCATCATTGATAAGCATAAGGAAGCAGAGTGGTCCATCTTGGTGCCTTGGGGGACGCCGCAGGTGAGTGATTGAAAGGTGGAGACAGCCCCTCTGAAGCGTATAGCTTTGTTGAATAAAATTGTGGTCGACTAGGTCAAATGCCTAAGTGAAGTCAATGAAGACGACAGCTACAGACATTTTTCGTTTCTCCAGATGGCGGTATATGTAGTTGAGAAAGCTGACAAGACAGTGAGTGGTGGAGAAAGTTTTCACATAACAAATTGCTGAGAATCTACGGCTCCTGCAATATCAGCATAAGCCCAGTCGAACACAAAACTTTCCCAGATTAAGCTGGGTATTGGGATGATTGCAATGGGTCGTAGCTGATTTAAGGATTGTGGGCTGGTTGACTTGGGCACTAGTGACACATAAGAAGTCTTCCAGTCAGCTGGGCATCTGGCTTGACTGAGAGAAGCATTGATGATGGAGCAGAGGGGTTTAACAAGCTCCGGGGAGAACTCCTTAAAGAGTTTCATTGGTCAGTCAATGGGGCTGGTGGAGCGTTTTAACTTCAGTTTGTCCAGATGTTTTGCTACTTCAAATTCTTCTACTAAGTCAGTGGGAAAGGGGGCTGGTAGGTAAGCAGGGAGATTGGTTGTGTCAAGCCGGGGAAGCGTCTGGCATATAGTAGCGAAATGGTTATTTGATTGCTCAGCTGCGTCAACATTAGTGAGATGGCTAAGGAAGGGGAGGGGGTGTGTCTTATTGTTTAGTCCACAGAGTTCTTTAAGCTTTTCCATACCACTGACTGATGTTGGTCTGCTTCAGGTGATGCAATTTGGTTGGGTAGTGACACTTCTTTGAAGTGCGTATTTCGCGGATGACTAGGTTGCGAAGGGACCTGTAGTGGATGTGGTCATTGAGATAAAAGGCTCTGTCTCTGTTGCATAACTCTTTTGATCCGAGGTGTGATCCAGGGTAAATCAGCTGGGTGAGATCTGGCGGACTTCTCGGGGAAGAAGTGGTGGTGAGCTTCCGTGGTGGTGTTGGTATAATTTATCCATTTGGTGTCCACGTCATCCACGCTAAGTACTTCAGTCCAGGGATGGTGAACTATCCACAGCCCGAAGAGACGCACTGTAGAGTCAGTAATCAGCCTGTAGGTCTTGATGTAGGGTCTCTGTACTTGAGTGGGAGTGGCAGCTGGGGACCAGAGCACTGATAGGTGTGTGCTACACTAGATAGGAGGCATTGGTTGAGGTGGTTGGTACTGGTCCACTAAGTTGGTTAAGATAAGGTCAAGTGTATTTTGACCGTGTGTGGGGAAGCTCACAACTTGTGATAGTGACAGCTGGTCCTGGATATCAGTGGAGTCAATTTCATTATAATCCCTGCATAATACTAGCTTGGCACATGGGTACTTAACTCTGAGGTGATAATGAGATGGTTGATAAGAGTGTCTCTGGTGGGTGAGCGAGGCAGATGGTTATGACACACAGATTATGATAGAAGCAGTGTGGCGCGGGTGGGCCCGTGGCAACTGTTGTCGGCTTTGGGGCCGATGCTCTCGTTCCCCTGAGGCAAAGCAAAGCAGACCTAAGGAGAGAGAAGGACAGTCAACATCTCATCCACCTAAGGAGAGAGAAGGACAGTCAACATCTCATCCAGGCTGTAACATAACTTCTGGGCTGCTGCTTCTGTTCGGATAGCACCTCCGCGAGTCTGGTGTAGAAGCATCTTGCACTTGGTCTCATCCCACCAGAGGTTGTGAACACCAGACGAATGAAGCTGCCTTGATCAACGTTCTGAATTCTCTTCCCATATGCCCTTATCTTGTCGTTCTCGTTCCTCCTGTGTGTAGCATCGAGAGCTAAGTTACGGTGACATGCGGCCATGGGATAAAAAATCCTGATGTCGAAGAAGGCTCGCTGTCCCCGCGTCGAGAATCCTCGAGCACTGATGTCAACACGGGCTTCGTTGGATATGTTTGAAGTCCTTTGTTGGAAATTCTCACCGTCCAATGGAAGGAGGGTCGGTTCTACCCTGACATCACGGCAGATTTCCTTCAACATATTTGCTGTGAGATCCCTTACTTCGTCATGCCTCATGCATATGAAGCCCACTTTCTTGCACACCATGGTGTGATCGACGTCATAGGAAGAGCCACACACGCATTGGGAGGGCAAACCTACTGGCCTACCATACCTTAGAGCAATGGCATCTGTAAATTCTTGTTTATTGAGATAGAAACCATTTGCCCTTATCGGTAATGTACTTAACCAGCTCGAGGCGCCCACCTCCTGCGCTATAGCTACTTTTTTTTCAAATTCTCTGGTACTTGCAGCATCAGTTGCTGCAACTTATCACTTTGGCTGTGCTGTCGCTCTGTCGTAATAGACCTTTCAATCTTGTTTACTTCACTGGTATCCACCTCACCTGTTGCGTTCTGAGCTATTATGTGGTCAGTGAGGGCTGCCGTGAGCTTAACTGAGTTTTGATGTTCGGTGGCAGCACTCTCCTCTTAATAACCAATTTATACTGCCCGATTCTGGGGTCACTAATTCTAAAGGGATAACTTAACTCTACTCTTAATTTTAAGGTCGCTGCCACCAGACCCCCCTGGACAGTATGTAGCTCGTTAGGTAGCGGGCAGAGCAAACTAGGCATTGGGTTTGGTTTTTCATTGACCAAATCAAGAGTGGGAAGAAGGGTGAAACATCAAGCACGACATAACTAATTTATTCCCTATAAAACATATTGCATCCCGTCACACTACAAAAAGAGTTGGCCTTCATCAAAAGAACCACGATTATGTTCATTACACTTCACATCAATATACGTCTTTCATCAAATAACTACTATCATCATCTTCATCCTTCATAACAATCAATGACCTCCTTACCTCGGTCATTCCTTCTTACCATAACACCCACCACATGTTAGAGTATAGCACCACATGTTATATTATAGCACCACATCTCGGGTACACTCCACACCTACAAGTATGGAACTCCTCGGTATTCTTCAGGTACACATACCAGGTACCTCGTTCACGCTCTACTCTTGCCGAGTAGATGGGATACTTCCCAGGTAATCATACCAGTACTGGTTCCACGCCTGGTATTCTTAGGTCGCTCCACGTGGCGACCGCGAAATTTCTCAAACACACAATTATGTTCTCCTATCCTGGGTGGTGATATGTAGGGTATCCACAGATTCACAGTGGAGGTGCATAACTACTACTACTACTACTACTTTGCTGTCTCTCGGAATAGAGTATGACGATCATCCAGCTATGATACAATGATATGAGTTATTAGGGACGTCACCTTGGTTGGTGAGTGTTGAGGTGACTAAAGAGGTCGATACGGGACCCGCAGAGTCGTCCAAATTCGTTGCACATGTGGAGGGCTGCATCTAGTGCGGGAGGGGCGGTGGCAGCGTCTTTCTGGCGTTGGTGCTTGTCTGCCTCGGTTTGCAGTCGGGCTAACTCGAAAGTATTGACACCTTCTCGTGTGGTGCTCCTCCAAGCGTTACGGTGTGGAGTAATCGACTCCCAGGTGAGGGGGTCGATTTGGCACTTTTTCAGGTTTGTCTTAAGACTATCCTTATATCTTTTCAGTTGCCCGCCGGAGTTACGTTCACTGTTCGTTACGTGACTTTAAAGTAGCTGCCTTAGCAGACTAATGTCGTCCATGCGGATAACATGGCGAGTCCAGCGTAGCTGTTCATGGCTAATGGTAGCCTCGATGCTCCTATAGACACACATACACACACACACACAGTTGGTGTCAGCAAGAAAACTGGCATTTGTTCTCGTCTTCCCAGCAAACTCGGAGGATGGAATGTAGACTACGTTGGTGAAAGTGGGGAGGACCACAGCTCGATATACATGCAGCTTTGTAGATATTTTCAGCTCCCAGCAGCTGAAGAAACAGTATCGGAGTCCGCCGAAAGCTTGAGATGCACATCTGATCAGGTGCTGAATCTCTTCATCGATGTCTGCGGTGGTGGTTAGGTGGGAGCCGAGATACCGAAAGTGGATAACATTAGAGTAACATTAGAGAGGGTAGTACCGTTAAGCTGGATGGATGGTGGAGGTGTGTCTGAACCAGGGGCAGGTTGAAAGAGAATCTGAGTCTTGCGTACATTCTCCTCAAGGCCGAAGTGCACATTTGCATCTGCGTTTAGGATCTCCTGTAGGTCGTGTTCAGTGTGAACAACAAGGGTGAGGTTGTCTGCAAATTGAAGTTCAGTAATGGAAGCTGCTGACACCTTCGTTTCTGCTTGGAGTCATCTTATGTTGAAAAGTCCCTTCATCCGGTCCTCGATGTCCACCCCGCCGGCTAAATTGGCACTGGTACGAGTAAGGAAGGCAGCCAAGAAAATGGAAGAGAGAGTTGGTGCCAGTACACACCCTTGTTTAACCCCTGTTTGGATGGGGATGAACTCAGACTGGGTGCCATTGTGCAGGACACTGCCGTTCATGCCATCGTGGAGTTGCCTGACAATGGCGATGCATTTTGGTGGGCAGCCAAAAGGGGCTGGACGTCCACCAGAGGGCTTCCCTGTTGACCGAGTCAAAGGCCTTGGTTAAGTTGATGAAAGCCATGTACAGGTCACAACGCTGTTCTCTGCATTTTTCCTGTATCTGGCGGGCACCAAAGACCATGTCAGTGGTGCTACATGATGATCTAAGGCCACAATGAGATACTGGGAGGAATTTTTCCGCTTCTGGAAGGAGTCTGTTTAGGAGGACTCGGGCAATAATCTTGCCAGCCAGAGACAGCAGCGAGATCCCGCGGTAGTTGCCACAGTCTGACCGGTCTCCCTTGTTCTTATAAATATTGACAATGGAAGCGTCGGGGGGCACTGGTGGAGTGGTACCGCTCTTGCCTCGCAAGCAAGATGTCTCGGGTTCGGTTCCCGGGCCAGCGGAAGTTCTTTGGACACTCTTCCTAGTCCCCCTGGTCCCTGGTTGCAAATTCGTATTCAGGGACAAGTTGTTGGAGCTTCCAATAACTTGCTTAGACATAAAACTATAGACTCGTCAGGCTTCTACGCCCTTGACTCTTCAGGCTTCTACGCCCTTAACTAATCGGACATAAGGCAGGCATGAACTTAGCATGCTTCCCTGTTGGGCGGTGTAAAGGCTTCTGTGCTTCACCATACACAAGGATGTAGGGGGGTGCCCAATAAAAAAAAAAAAAATGGAAGCGCCTTTAAGAGCTTGGGGGATTTCCTCCTTTTCCTATATATTCTCCAGAAGAGAGTGGAGACGGCTGGTAAGCAGAGGTCCTCCTGCTTTATAGACCTCGGCTGGGATTCCATCAGGCCCTGAGGCTGTTATTTTTTATCTGTTTGATGACAGTAGCTACCTCGTGCAGGGATGGAGGATAGCTGAGGTGGGTCAGGTCTGGATGCTGAGGGACTTGCTGGGTAGTCAGGACATCCACATTGGTATTTCGGTTGAGCAATGAATGGTAGTGCTCATTTCCAGCACTGAAGGAGGCCTTCATTGTCTTTAATTATGAAGTTACTGTCAGATGTGCAGAGGGGGGCTGCACCACGAGTGGTTGGCCCATAAAATGTTTTAGTGGAATTGAAAAATTTGTGCATCTTGTGCTGATCTGCATGTTTTTGTGCTTCACATGCTATATTTTTAAGCCAGTCATTCTTTAGATTGGGAAGTTCCCGCTGGGCTGCCGCTTTCATCTTGCGAAAGGTATCAGCTTTGAGGGTTATTCTGCCAGTCAGTAAAAGTGAGCGTGCACGCGCACGCACGCGCATGCACGCATGCACACACACACACACACACACACACACACACACACACACACACACACAGGCCAAATTATTACATTATTTATCTCATTTAACGCATCACTTCACACAACCCAACACCTCTCATCATCAACAAATCCTTCCTTCCTAATAATCAATCAACACCCAGTTCTCTGCTAAGTGATTCATGTGGACGTCCATCTCCCTCACTTGTACAGTCAAGCAGTGTCCTTCACCCCATCTTCATCTCTTTACTTACAAGTGTAAATACTGTACAGTGAACTTCACAATATTGGACTAGTTGGCAACAACACCAGTCCAAAAAAGGTAAAATGTGTAAACAAAACTGCAAACAAAGAGAAAATAATGCGTCGTATACCTGAGCAGAGATGGTAAGTGGAGGTAGCCAGGTGACCTCACACTACCCATGTTAGGTCACCAGCTTATCCATCACAACATTGTCTCAGTACTATAAATCTGATAAAGTATAGTACAGTAATCAGTAAATCTTATAGTCATAAATGTTTTGTCCAATGGCCACAAACTGTCAGAAAAATATGTACAGTATCCCAAATTCTTTAGTCCAATATTGTGATGGTCACTGTACGTCCCAATGTCCACACTACCAGGGATCTGCTCTCACACATCCATATATGGCATAAAGAAACAGAAAACTTAAACTACTTATTGTAAACAGAAGATAAAGTGGCAAATATTAACAAAATATCAATAAATTATAATTTGGTCCATACAACAAAGATTTCATCATGTTTCACTGTAAATTTTTATAATAAATCAAGGAAGTTAAAAGAATTAACATACAACCAAAAATATTTAGTGTAAAAAGGAGCAACAAAATATTTTAATGTTACAATACAATAATGGGTTTTAAAATTCTCAAAAGATTAGTGATGCAAATAAACAAAACAGATAAAATAAAAACAGATAATTTGGATGAAATTTCACTGTGAAAACTTTAGGTAAAACTAGTGGATAAATTAGTAATTATTCAAGTTTCTAATACAGTACTCTACCTGTTGATGCTCTTGATGGCCTGAGCTTCATCCAGCACCATGTAGTTCCACTTTAAACGGTTGAGGAACTTGAAGTCCTGAATAACAATCTGGTAACTGGTGACAACTATGTGGAAACTGGCATCTCTGCTCCCAAGGTTCTTTCCGTCAAAAAACTTGCGGAGATTTTTACGCTCCTCGGGATTACCCCAATATGGCACAACCTGATAAGTTGATGGTATATTAATTATCTTGACTAAACTGACTATTATATCCTGACTAAACAGACTATTATATCCTGTCTACACTGACTATTATATCCTGACTAAACTGACTATTATATCCTGTCTACACTGACTCTTACTCTCAATATTAGGTTGCATACATGACTTACTCCTACCCAACACCTTTTTTTTATGGTCGTTAGGTAAGGTCCACAGACTCCTAAATACTGTACTGTACTGTACCACCTCATAAGACTCTACAGTGAGTTTTAACACTACTGCAGGACATGTCTTTGGTGTAAGGAGTTCCTCACCTGGTCGCCTCAGGGTAAATGTTTCAACCATTAGTGAGGCATTATGTGAGGTGGACTACACTCACTCAGGGTCACACACTCCAACACAACTTTGGCCTTCAAAAAAGACTCATACTTTAACCCATTTATTGTCCTGTTATAACTGAACTTTTGTCTCAGGGTTTTATGACAGACAAATGGGTCCATCATCGAGCCACAGTTCCTGGCTTTGACCACACACCCAATACTAACAACCATTACCTAACACAACATGAGGAACTACCACACACCCATCACTAACAACCATTACCTAACACAAAAGTGACCCACAATTTTTATAAGATTCTCAAAACCAATATAACCTCAGAAGATAAAAGTGTATCTAAGTGAACCTTGGGGTACCTTAGACAGCCACATACAGTCCTACATAATTTGTTATACAGTAAACCCTTGAAGATCCAGACCCGGTAAATCCGGAATTCGGAAGATTCGGACAAAAAATTTGGGGTTCTGGGCAAAGAAGCCTCCCAAAAAAGCATTCCCAAAACAGAGTGAAGGTAGATTTAGGCTTAAAGTTTTTATCTTATAAAATGTCACACACTAAACTTAGCAGAATATAACTTACATTGCTGGAATCCTTGCAAGATAGTGAATAATTTGAGTATGAACATCACATAGTTTGCACAAGAGATAAAAATGTTCGTCATTTAGTGGAGTACATTTGAGTACAAAGTGAGTACAGTAATAACTTGCTCAAAATTATAGTTTTTCACAGGTAAAAGTCAGTATAACTAATCCCAGTGGCCAGGAAAATATGTACTGTATTTTTGGTGTTTTTTATATCATTATTTATCGTTTTTATACATTTAGTTCATTCACCGGAAGATTCTGACAATAGGCTTTTCCAGACAGGTGGTCCACCCTTTTAGTCCGGATCTTCAAGGGTTCACTGTACATAGATACATATCTCACCAATGTACAGTACTAAGTACAGTAATGCTGAAAGAGAATTAATAATGGATATTAAAGACAGAAGTTGTCTACAGCCTCTGACTAGAACAAAGCTTAAATAAAGATGTGAGTTTGTATCAGCGGCTCACACCAAGGTAAGGGAAGGTTTGAACCACGGAGGAGAACCATAGTTTATCCTCTCGCTTGATTCTTCTGTCAACACTATGGAGATGGTTGACACAGGGTCTGAGTACAGTAGTTGACTCACACCATCAACACTAATGCCAGCATAATATTTGATGGTTTAACATCATGTTGACAGTCTCTCATAATCACATCTCAAGTCCCTCGCCCCACCATATAAACACGAAAATAAAACATTCTCTTACATAGTGCCAAAACATGTGTACCCCAACATACCCTTGTTAAGTCAACTATAACCTTAACATAAAAATAACAATATTTTCATAAAGCAAACTGAAAAATATTTCACATTCTATAAAAACAAAATAATTCTACATCTTACCTGGAAGTTTGGCACAAATCTGGCTATTTCTCCAGTCCAATTATGAAGAGTAGAGGCTGGTGTGATTATCAAAAATGGTCCCCATGTATCTGAAACATTAAAAATAAAAATAATAAAGTTGAAGGATTGATTCTACTATCCCACTTTATGGCCAAATCTGACACTAGTGATTCGCACATCTAGACTGTACCATCTAAGTCAACCTCTACATTCACTCCATCGCACACCCTCTGCTCCTCTACCATTCTACTCTATAACAAGTTCATGCTTCACTGCCAGAAGTTAAGGTGGGAAGTATCTTATAATATTTCTCAGTTCCTTCTTTACCTCTATAATCCTTCTCTTGATGATACTTCCCCTAAGTCTCTGATCATCTTCCTCCCAGGTATCGTTCTCTCTTTATTTTCATTCTCCTTCGTGCCAGTCTTCCTCAACATGACTCCCACACACATGAAAGTTCTAACCTCTGCCAGTACTGTATTTCAGTCTTTGTAATATTTATACCTTAACATTCACTAAATTGTTCTACTCTGTTTGGTATACCAGAATTCACTATGTTGAACATCTTATCCTCAACAACCATTCCCTAACTTCTTCCCAATGATTATATATTTCATTCCCCTTGTCATACACCCTGAATTTGGTTGTTCATCTTCACTCCCAAAAAACAAAACGCTGTCACTCCCCATCTTCACTTCTGCCCCAGTCACCTCTACCTTCATTTCTCCCACCACAACTCAGGGTACATAACACATCACTGTCTCAACCCCTACTATCATCTCAGAGCTCTCAGTTAATCTTCTGTTTATTCTAATATATCTTTACTACCAATTTAAAATACCTTCACTGCACCAAGCAAGTTTTCTTCTACTACAGTACAACAAAACAGTCCTCACCTCCCACAGTGCTTCTTGATCATTCTCTTGATCCTTAAATGCTGCACACAATTACCTCTTTCTTCCATTGACTATTTTGTACTTTTACTGAACATACAACCCTTACCACAGCTAACACACACAAACATAGAAAATGGCTGCCATAAAATAGTAATGATTGATGATGATGATGATGATGATGATGATGATGATGATGATGATGATGATGATGATGGATCTCTTTTACCCTTAGGTTTAGTTCTTCTTTGTAAATTTATCTCATTCTCATCATAAGTTTACTGGCCAAGGTGCAGTCTGGTCCTGTCGGTATTCCTCTTATTATTTCTGCATCTTTCACAAACAGTCTCTTTAATGTACATATTCTTTAACTACCATCTACTGTATAATGGCCTCCATCTGTGTGTCACTCTTTGTTGCCTCCATCCACTAGTGGTCACAGGTTAGGATGCAACAAATATAGTATTTCTCTCCCTGTTGACAGTGAGGGGCTGTACATAATCACCAGCTGACACCAGTGCACAATACCCACCTCAGGAGGCAAAATGTGTCCTTCATTACGTACCTAACTACATCACCTTCTCTACTCTTCCCCTTATACCAACTTAACAAATACAGGTTGCAACTCTCTGGTCCGGCAACTCCCGTGGTCCGACATTTTAAGAATCCGACATAGGTACAACTGGTTCGTAGCAGTTACATACGAGCACTAGTTTGCGTGGCGTTAAGGGACCATCAATACGCTCTACCCTGACCTCAGTAACATGTGATCAAGTGCAAACTGTCGTTTTTTCTTATTAACTCTCTTTTTTTGCCCTCATCATGGCTCCCAAGTGTAAACCTGATGCAAGTGATAGTAATGCATCCAAGAAAAGGAAACAATTACAATGGAAGTGAAAGTTGATGTATTTAAACGTTGTGTAAAAAGTGAAACACCCTCAGTCAGTGGTGAAGTGTTGGGCTTCAGTCAGTCAACGGTCGGAACAATTTTGAAAGATGATGAGAAAACTCTTGAATATGTAAAAGGATCTACAATATTACACTCAACCGTGAAAACAAAACAAAGAAGTGGATTGTTGATTGAAATGGAAAGATTGTTAGTAATAAGGGTGGAAGATCAAAATTAACAGCATTTGCCTTTAAGTCTTGCCTTGATAAAGTGAGAAGCTTGCATACTGAGTTGAAGGCTGCACATGGTGGTGAAAGTGATAGGGAAGATTTTGTTGCTAGTAGGGGCTGGTTTAACCGGTTCAAGGTAAGGGCAAATTTACATAACATTAAAGTACAAAGTGAAACAGCTAGTGCAAGGTAAAGCTGCAGCTAGTGAATTTACTGCTCCTTTAGCTAAATAATTGAAGAAGGAGGTTATTGTGCTGAGCAAGTTTTTAATATTGATGAGGCTGGTTTATTTTGGAAAAGGATGCCCGAACACATGAACCTTTCAAAACATGAAAAAACAGCACCCAGACATATAGCTGCCAAGGAGAGGTTGAACTTGCTGCTGGGGGGCAATGCTGCAGGGGACTACAAACTAAAACCTTTGCTTCTCTACCAGACAAAAATTCCTAAAGCTTTGAAGGGTGTTTTCAAGGCAGCACTTCCAGTTATTTGGAAATCTAATAAGAAGGCTTGGGTAACATTGGCCCTTTTTGAAGTCTGGTACCTAAATCATTTTGTGCCTGAAATGGAGCAATATTGTGCTTCAAAGTCAATCCCTTTCAAAATTTTATTGGCACTTGACAATGCTCCTAGCCATCCATCATTTTTAGATGACATTCATCCAAACATTAAGGTTGTGTTCCTACCTCCAAACACAACATCTGTTTTACAACCGATGGACCAGGGAATTATTGCTTCATTTAAAGCATATAACCTGAGAAGGACATTTGCTCAAGCTATCAAGGCAACAGAACAAAAAGAGGGTAGGAGTTTAAACGAATTTTTGAAGTCACACAACATTTATGATGCTGTGAAAAACATTGCAGATTCATGGGCTGAGGTAAAAGAAACCAATATGAATTGTGTTTGGAAAAATCTCTGCCCACAGTTTGTCCAAGATTTCAAGGGCTTTGAAAATGATGTTGGGATCTTGGGAACCAACTCCAGCTTGATATTCATGAGGATGATGTCACACAGTTGCTTGAGTCTCATGCTGAAGAATTAAGCAATGAGGACCTGATTGAACTGGAGAAGCAAATTTTGTCAAGAGGATGTAGAGGAAGCTGACACTCCAGAACCAAAGAGATTCATTACAAAAGAAATGGCAGATGGTTTCAGAGTTATTGAAGGAGGATTTAAATTTGAACAGCAAGATCCCAACACAGCAACATCATAGAGGTATTACTGAATGTCTACAATGATACAGAGAGATTTATGACAAAAATAAGAAAGTTTCAGTTCAACCATCACTTGAAAAGTTTTGAAGAAAGTCAAAAGGTAGTCCAAACCAGTCCCATCAACCTCTACAGCATCTACAGAACCAGTCCCATCAACCTCTGCAGCATCTACAGAACCAGTCCCATCAACCTCTATCGCATCTACAGAACCAGTCCCAACAACCTCTCCAGCATCTACAGAACCAGTCCCATCAACCTCTACAGCATCTACAGAACCAGTCCCAACAACCTCTACAGCATCTACAGAACCAGTTCCATCAACCTCTACAGCATCTACAGAACCAGTCCCAACAACCTCTACAGCATCTACAGAACCAGTCCCATCAACCTCAGCAGCATCTACAGAGTAACTCCCATATTCTCCACAACCAATCCTGTTAACATGTACATCTTCATCACCATATTCAGTTTCATCCCAATAAAACCTGTCACTCCTACAAATGCCCATCTCTACATACAAGCCAGCCCCAGGTTTCAATGTAAGTGTTAAATTTTAATTTTTACTTTCCTTTAACGTATTTTGCCATTTAATTTCTTCTTTTCTCTTAAATTAAGTAGTTTGAGATGTATAAAATAACTTACGCTATGATTTAGTGCACATAGGGCATGTGTTCCGACTTGCATACATTTACAACTTGAGAACGTCCTCAGGAGCGGAACTGGTTCATTACTCGGGGACCCCCTGTATTATAGTTTTATATTACAGTATATTTTTTCTACTTCTAAGCCACATTAGAATATTGTAATTACTATTTTTTTACAAACGAGCACAAACAAGTGATAAACCCACCAAACTAGCAAGAGATGCTGGGTGTTGCTCTGGCAAGACCAAGACCCAAGTGTATGAGCGGTTCAGGGTGTCAGATGCGTAAAAGCAGGCATTAGCACTCACTCATGTGAGAGGTAACAGTTCTTAGGGGACAATTTCCATACTAAATGAAATTCAACCTAAAAAATAATAATGTAAACAAACTGAAAGTAAAATTACAGTACAGTGGGGGGTCTCATTTTACATGGGTCTCGCGTGTGCGGTGATTGCTTATGTGATTGGTTGAAATGTGACCACAGTTGTAGCTTACATGGAAATCCATAGGTAGCAGCACGGATAGTGGTAGAGGCTTAAATTAGTGATCTTTTGCTTATTTAGGTTAATTCAACATAAAGGAGCTCTGGGTCACTCAAATTACTGAATAAACGGTGCTTGAGTGCTGGCAACATTGTTAGGGAGAGCAGGAACAATCTGCTGATACTGCTCTATCCTGTAAACAGAGACCACAATATTTCATCTGGGATTGAATGTTGGATTTGGGGGGGAAAATTAATTATTTTTTATAATGTTTTATTAACCCGGCATCAAATGTACCTAAATAATATAGGAATTATTGTGAAATTGCACACTGTTGTTAAAAAGGGATGACGGGGTGACATGTGCACGTGGTGGTGAGTTGTCCTCTCCCTCCCTACCCCCTCCTCTGTCACCCCTCACTGGCTACGCACCCATATTTTATTCACATAATTCATCATCTTCATCTATTAGTACATAATACATTACTACAGTACCTGTATAATAATAATCGACTTTTCGGAACGGCACAGTTAAATCACAGATTCATTACGAGTTCAAATTGTTTAATTCATTTTTAAAAAAAGAAAAATAATTAATTGAGTAGAAATCTGAATTAACAAAGGTGCAATGTATATTACTGTCATCTTTATTCAAGACATCTTCAGGTCATGAGACCCACTAATTCCCCACCCCAACAATGGGTGACCTGACAATGCATCAGATCAGTAATATGAAACCACTAATCCCTCACCCCATTTTCACCACAAATAAGAAAAGGGTTTATATACAATGGGTGACCTGCTATTACAGTACATCAAGTCAGATCAGTAACATGAGAGAATGAGGAGAAATTTACTTTTTCTCACAGACATAATGCTTCTTTCTTATCTCTATTTTCCATTTATTCTTTAATTACTCATATTTCTTTCTCTCCATTTTTTCTTTTTATTTCTTTACATTATTTCTCATACCCTATCTCTTACTGTTGTTCTTATTTACTTAAACAATTATGGAGAGTATAAATAAGAGGTGGAAGGTGGCGTAGAAGCAGGGTGTGGTGGGGGGAGGGAGGGTTGATATGGTCACTTGTTCATTCACCATGTAACCAAGTGTATGTGCCAGGCTGTTGCCTCATTCACCAGTGTTTTTTAATTATTCATTATTATATTCTCGTATGATCATGAGATCAGCCTATTATGGTGTATGTTTCATCATAAATAAAATAACATACAGTATTAAATAACAGAACAAAACACAATACATAATTTTGACTTCCAAATAAAACGACAAGCTAAATCAGTGTTGGTGGTGAGGTGGCACCAGAGCAGACCGAGGGATCCTACACCAAGCACTCATCACCGCCTATCTTATGCCTCAACAATTCAAGGAGAATCCAGTGACGATGACCCTGCTGCTCCAGAAATTGTTGATGAAGCTGAAGTCGCTTTACAAGTGTCTGCAATTAATTTTCATGGCTTTGAATCTGACTAGCCTTCACTCCTACCCTGAGCACCTATCGTCTCCCAGAGCTTCCCGTTGAAGTATCACATAATTAACTTCCTGGGCTTCCTTATAATATTTATTTAATAATGTAGATGTAGTTTATGTGACATTATGTGTCATTTTTGGAAGGTTAAGTTGGTTACCCAAAGTCGTTCTAGAGTAAAGGTCTGGCGAATCCAGTACAATACAGTGACTTTAAAACATGTTAAAGGGCATCGCTCGTGCGGATTTTCGATGTGTGGACGCGTACCAGTACAATATACCCACACAAAATGAGACCCCACTGTACTTCAATACTGTATTTTAAAAGTCTTATATAAATATTAGCATATTAGCATTTTTTTTTTACTTAAAGTAAACTAACAAGACATTTTACACCAGTGTAGAGTAGTGCCTCTCCTCCCCTCTGTCAGCTCCAAGTTAGTGTGGTCGTACAGTCCAGGTAAAAATATACTTATAATGTACTGCACATTTATAAAATCTCACTACTGTACTGTACTATTAAGTTATGAGAGTTTACTGTACAAAAATATGAAGAAACACTTACCATACTGCTCACATATATGAGCTAGGAAGGCAATGGACTGAACTGTCTTGCCTAGACCCATCTCATCAGCCAGTATACCATTAATGCCCTGCAAGTAAACAAGAGTGAGTGAGGTCCATTTTATGATGCATTAGTTTATAACACACACTGTATATAGGTAGACCACTGTCACTTCTGAACTTAGAGGGACAAAGATAATCAATTAGACATTTTGTACTAGAGGTGTCTAGTGATGATCTTCCAGCATCAATTAACAGACTTGTCCTGAGCCAGCACAGGCTGAAGATGAAGCCTCTTCTCCTCCCCATAGAGCAATGTTAGGCTGAGATCCTCTGTTATTCAAATGACTAACAAAGAGCATTAATATATTAAGAGAGAAGTCTGATGATGAAGGTTCAACATTACAGTTTAACTCTGAGTGTGTTTCAGAAAGATAAGAGGAACATCACTGTTTATATCCCAGATTAGTAAATACATCATGCACTGGTTTCACTCCACTGTATCTTAGTGTATTGTCCATACATTAACAGACTTTGACACACACACTCGAATTTGATTTTCTGCATTTTTTCAAGTAGTGAAATGCATTTATGAAAATTGTGATACGAAAATTATAGTGATAGTAATCTCCCCATTAGCCAGAACAAGTGGTGCAGAGTGGAACCAAGAGATTTCCGGATATTGAGACAAATTTTTCAGCCCCAAAACAAATCACACATCTCCAGAAAATTTCTGGGCATTGGTGAATGTTTCTGCAATGGACTGGAGTCGGACAGAGACAGATGCAGAGCTCTATTCATTTAAGCAAACAGCACTGTACATGTACAATATACTGTAAATTAACAAAATATATACTACTGTATACATTATACTACTGTACTCACTAGCAGATGCTGTCATCTTGAGCTTGTGAAGCAGGCAGACTAAATGGTGACTATACAGGATAGCCTGCCTTTATCCTGTCCCATCTACTGTAGCAGGTGTTGCTGACTGTCACTCTACTCTCCCTCCATGAAGGAGGGATTGTACTTGAGCTGTATACTGTACTCATATATGATAATAATGGTTGCCCCTCGTGTACGAGGATGGCCGGCCCAAGGGCCACCTAGGCATGAATTTGTTTAAGGTGTAGAAGCTGTCCCCAGCACAACAACCAAACCCTGAGCTAACGAGCTGCATGACCCAGTGTCAAGGAAGTGTCCAAGAAGACCGGACAACTCTCCAACTGCACTGGCTAACCATTACCCTGGAACACGATCTGCAAATTGATTAACATCCAGGTTCCAAATTACTGTTGAGTAGACACAGGCAAATGGCATAAAGAAATGCCTATAGTTCAACCTGCCCAGGAATTGAACCTGGGACCACTCTCTTGAGAGATGAGCATGCTAACCATTACACCACAGGGTGCCACTGTACATACACCTCTACACACTAGCCTACAGTAGGCATACACTGTCCACTCTGTTGAATGTACAGTTGTACCCCACTTAACGCGGTCAATTGAACCCAGAGGGTCCCGCGTTAAGTGAAATCCGCGTTAAGTGAACAACAGAACATATGGGATTAATTCCAATAGAAACCGGCCCGACCCCCAAACTCCACTTTTTGAAGGCACATACCTATGTTGTAGTAAAAATAACATCTTAATTTTATGATGGTACATGCACACAATTAATACTTAAGAGAAATAGAGAAATACAGTCGCCAAGTTAATGTCCATTCAAATAATGGACTCAACTCCCTCCCCCTCTCACACTACACAGCCGGCTAACAGATGGTCGGTCGGTCCCTCCCTCCCCCCCCACCCCCCACCAACCGTCCCAAGGAGATGTGTGGGATAACCTCAAACTAAAGTTAGGAAAATATAATTGACATTGCTGGATTCCTTGTAAGACCAGGAATATTTTGAATATAAATGTCATATAATTTGGACAAAAGATACCATAGTTACCTAGAGAAAATTTTTTATCTAAAAATTGTAAGTTTAAAGCAAAATATATGATGTTTATATTCAAAATGATCACCAAATTATAAGAATTCCAGCAATGTAAATTATATTCTGACCGGGTAATTTGTATGAATTTTATGAGCTAAAACAAATATCTTCAGTTAATAAAAAAAAATTAATCTTCACGACACTATCTGTCAATCAAAGTACCCCACCTTGCCTCCCCCCCTCTTCCAACCGCGCGGTCAGTCCCAACCCTCCCCCCCACCCCCCACTAATCCTCCCTTCCAGAGTTTTTAACATTTAGTATTAAATAATACCTCAGATTAAAGTTAGGATAATATAATTGACATTGCTGGATTCCTTGTAAGACCAGGAATATTTTGAATATAAATGTCATATATTTTGGACAAAAGATACCATAGTTACCTCGAGAAAAATTTTTATCTAAAAATTGTAAGTTTAAAGCAAAATATATGATGTTTATATTCAAAATGATCACCAAATTATAAGAATTCCAGCAATGTAAATTATATTCTGACCGGGTAATTTGTATGAATTTTATGAGCTAAAACAAATATCTTCAGTTAATAAAAAAAAATAATAATTCTTCACAGGGTAACAGATGGTCGGTCGGTCCCTCCCTCCCCCCCACCAACCGTCCCAAGGAGATGTGTGGGATAACCACTAAATTTTAATAAATAATACCTCAAACTAAAGTTAGGATAATATAATTGACATTGCTGGATTCCTTGTAAGACCAGGAATATTTTGAATATAAATGTCATATAATTTGGACAAAAGATACCATAGTTACCTAGAGAAAAAATTTTATCTAAAAATTGTAAGTTTAAAGCAAAATATATGATGTTTATATTCAAAATGATCACCAAATTATAAGAATTCCAGCAATGTAAATTATATTCTGGCCTGGTAATTTGTATGAATTTTATGAGCTAAAACAGGCAGTCAGGCAGGGTGGCGGGTGGGGCAAATCTAAAAATAGCGTCTCGGACACTCACCGCGTATATGTGGAAAAAATCCGCGTTAAGTGAAAGTTCAGCTTTGGCAAGGCACCGCGTATATGCGAAAACGCGTTAAGTGAAACCGCGTTAGGCGGGGTAAAACTGTACATTACTTTCACACTTACTGAATATACAGTACAGTGTATGTAAGTGTAATCACTGTTTATGTCTTAACACTGCTTTAACGATATTCTTGGCAGAGTATATGCTGGTGCAATAATGTACAATACAGATTGTTTCAGAATTTTCTGGAAATGTGCTGATGCAATCCCTCAGAAATTCACTCAAATACCAGGAATGGGGAGATTTTCCCAGAATTTCTTGGAATGCTAAAAAAAAAATCCAGGTAATGGAGAGGTTAGTAGAAGAATTAGGATCTGGACAAGAAAAGGTTCCAGGAGCTAACACCATACTATGTTACCTCTATATTGTGGGGATATATAAGAAGGGTTTGACTGTTAAAAATATATGTACAGAACTTTATAAACAACAATGATAATAAAGTAATGAGAGGCTATGTCAGTTATCAGCTTAATGTTGCATTTGAATATGAAGCGAATATAATCCAGGTATAGATCCTCAAATGTGGGAACCTTGGGGCTAAGACCAAGTATTTTCCTAGGGGGGTCATGGATCCTACCCAGACCCACCAGTAGACTACCACAGGTTTTGTTGCCACACTCACAATAAAACTTACTTGAATGTTTGTTTTACTTCTTAGCCCTTTCACCGCGTGGCTCGACTTTATGCGCTTTTTTATTTTTGTCCTTCACCGCGTAAATCGACTTTAGTCCACATTCGTATAAAAAACTTTCTGTTAACGCGTAACTTGACAACAGTCCTTCAGGGTTTGAATTATGTGCCGGCCAAGTAGATGCTGCCACCTAGCGGCAACTGGGGCAAGCTAAAGCTCCTGTCATCAAAACACTAGGAGTCAACATTGTTGCTCTGTATTTCGCCCAGTTTCCCCATTTTTATGACTAAAAACTATTTATATTATATATATATATATATATATATATATATATATATATATATATATATATATATATATATATATATATATATATATATATATATATATATATATATATATATATATATACATATACATATATACACATAATGATGGTATTTATTCTATCGATGCAATACTAGCACTTGGAGTGTGATAATCATTAAATCATAAGGGAAATGAACGAGATAATTTTGGAAGTAAAATTATTTCTTGCATATGTCATGATGGAAAATTATGTGACATTGTTTGTTCATGTTTTGTTTTGTTTTAGAGAATAATAATGGTATATAGTGATATTTAAAAGTTTAAGAGTTTGCTATAAAAAAATGTATTAGAAAGCTGTAGAGTATAATGAATAGAGGAGAAAGGAAACATAATGTAAGAGGAAATAGAGCGACACAGATAACCAGAGAGCCAAACATGGCATATTGAGACGGGTTTTCCGGAACTTCATGTCTTTCATTGCCTTTCAGAAATGTCTGGAATACGTGAGTGAGTGAGGCGTGCAAATTGTGAAAGGGAAATCAAGATATTATGGATATATATGAATTTATTCTTTGGCTATATATATTCCCAAAGGAGTTTACTTCCTTGTCTTACAATCAACTTCATCTTTGTAATATTTATTTATATTGTGTTCTGGTCCAATAAATAACAAATATAATAGAATAACTAATCTATTCCAATCTTTAATATCACATTTACCCACCAACATTCTCGTCTGTGTACAAGTGATTTTCGCATTTGCCCCAAAGACATAGGGTTTCAATATACTGTACAGTGATCCCTCGGTTAACGAGATTTCGGTTAACGAATTACCTTCCATAAGATTCTTAACTTCGGTCAACGAGCAATCCCTCGATTAATGAGTTTTTAACGAGTGCCCCTCCAAATGTTTTCGCTTGCATTTGGCGGTCCACCAGCTGAAGTATTAGTCCGCCAATACAGTAATCGGTTCTAAGGCTTAAATTCCTTACTATTTTAGTAAATAACAAGAAGTTTGTACTATTCAATAATTTTAAAAGTTTCATATTAAATTATTTAGTCATTTAAACAATTATTGAACATAATTGAAGTACAGGAAGCTAGTTTTTTGCGCGCCAAACAGCCTGTCAACACACCATACAGGCGTCAGTCTCTGTGTCTTTTCAGTGGAGGTAACATCTTGCTTAAGACTCTCTTCAACAAAATGCTTTTTTCTGTGTTTCCAAGCAAATTATTGGTCAATTTGAAATTTATTTTACATATTGACAATATATAATGAAGTGCAGTGTTGATTTAAAGAAAATAATCTTGAATTACACCAAGAGAACTAAAATTTTATGGGTGAAATGGCACAATGGGGTGACTTCTCTTCCACCCCAATGCCTTCTCTTCTCCCTTCTCCTCCACCCCCATTCTAATTCCCATCATCATCATCATCATCATCATCCAGGAGCCTTCTACATACACACCTCAAAGTAAGTGTACTTTACTACCTTTTTTGTTGATTTTAGGCAATTTTCGGTGAGCTGGAACCAATTACCCAAAAACCCATTGAAACAATGGTTTTGGTTAACGAGTTTTTCGGTTAACGAGCAACCTTCTGGAATGAATTGTGCTCGTTAACCGAGGGACCACTGTATACAGTATATGAATAATGATCAGTAATATAAAATTACGTGACTTCACTGGAAGATAAACTATTTATCGTTGCTGTTTACGCTATCTGACATATCTACTTATGATATTGCCCACTATTATGAACAAAAAAAATAAAAAAATAAAAGTGTTTTCCCCACAAAATCGTAAATTTACCCTAGATATTATTACTTTATGACCTTCTAATTGTTAAATATGGATTCCTCACACTTTTTTCATTAAAAAAAAATAGTTAAAATGTTAATGGAAGCATTTTTTAGTGATGTTTGGCACTTATTGGGAAATACCGCCAAAATTGGCCGACGCGGTGAAAGGGTTAACTAACAAAACAAATAATATTTCATTACATACATAATTTAAATAAAAAATACATTCGATAAAGTGTATGTATAAGATTTTTAAAATTCCCTGTAAGAGAGTCAAAAGGGTTTACAGTATTTATATTGTAGAAGCTTACAGCGACATTTAAGAGAAGTAGAGAGTTCATAAATAATTTGTCTGTTGAATAAATAACTCAATACAGTGACCCCTCGGTTAACGAACTCAATCCGTTCCAGAAGGTCGTTCGTTAACCGAAAAATTCGTTAACCGAAACCATTGTTTCAATGGGTTTTTGGGTAATTGGTTCCAGCTCACCGAAAATTTCCTAAATTCAACAAAAATGGTAGAAAAGTTCACTTACTTTGAGGTGTGTATGTAGAAGGCTCCTGGATGATGATGATGATGATGGGAATTACAATGGGGGTGGAGGAGAAGGAAGAAGAGAAGGCATTGGGGTGGAAGAGAAGTCACCCCATGGCACCATTTCACCCATAAAATTTTAGTTCTCTTGGTGTATTTCAAGATTATTTTCTTTAAATCAACACTGTACTGCATTATATATTGTCAATATGTAAAATATATTTCAAAATGACCAATAATTTGCTTGGAAACACAGAAAAAAGCGTTTAGTTGAAGAGAGTCTCAAGCAAGATGTTACCTCCAGTGAAAACAGAGAGAGACTAACGCCTGTTTGCTGTGTTAAGAGGCTGGATGCTGCGCTTTAAACTAGTCACTTTACCTTCAATTATGTTCAGTAATTGTTAAAATGACTAAAAAATTGAATATTAAACTTTTAAAATTATTGAATAGTATCAACTTCTTGATATTTACTAAAATAGTTAGGAATTTAAGCCCTAGAACCGATTAATGTATTGGTGGACTGATACTAAAGCTGGTTGCCCGGCCAGTGCAAGCGAAAACATGTTGAGGTCGGTTCGTAAGAAATTCGTTAACCGAATTTTTGTTCGTTAACCGAATTGAAGATCCTTATGGAAGGCAGTTCGTTAACCGAAATTTCGTTAACCGAGGCGTTCGTTAAACGAGGGGTCACTGTACTTTGATTATTTGTATTTATTTGTATCAATAAAAACATTATAGTTTTGGCACACAGTTTTTAAATTTAATGTTGGTAACACAAGCATTCAACTGAGTTTGTGGGATTGTGCCTGAGTGTGGAAGCAAAACTAGATGTAGCTCGGGATGAAAATGTTCTGTTTTGAGAAACCTCGTTTTTCTGAGATCCAGTTTGGAGGTGTGTACTGTACTTCTACCTTGGTGAGGTAAATATTAGCAGTTGAAAAAGACATGTTACACATTTTACCTGCTTGTGATATGGTTGAGGTTTGTCATACACTTTGTTAGATCACTGGGCAAAAACATAAAATAAAAAAAAATATAAAAATGTAAATAAAAAATAAAATAAAATAAAGTACTACAGTATATCTTACAAAGTAGTAGAGATTAGCCAGCCAGTTCATGCCATTCAACTGGTAGCTCTTGAGGATGCCTGTAAATATATCTGGTTGTGGATGTTCCTTGGATTCTTTTGAGCCTTCAAGTCCTGGAATGATTTTGCCTTCAGTCCCTGAGAAAAAACTTAGTTTGGCCTGCTGGGTGGAGTAAGCCTCTTGAGCAGTCTTGAGGGCCTGAACCTTCATGGCTTCACTGTAAGATTCAACAGTAATATAACTCACCAGTATTATCAGAGATTTAAAGCATTTTCTTGACACACACTAGTACAAAATTAGTGTTACAGTTAATTAAGGTGTTAGAAGGGTGTAAAGGGTGAAATAAAGGGTAAAGGGAGGGATCCTTCATCTAATTAAGCAACAGTAAAACATGGAGGAGGGTAAGAGAGAGTAGATGGCTTGATAATATCCATCTAACCCCTTGTGTATGGGCTCCCCTCTGAGCTCATAAAATCATCTGGTGTTGGCCAAATAAAATATTAAAAGTGGCATCCCTGTACTGAAGGAGTTAAGCTTTAAGTATGTGTTGGTGTGAATGTGTCAGAGTGGACTGGTGTTAAGGGAGGTATTTCCCCCACAGAAGTTGGCAGTATTAATGACTGCCAACTTTTTACATGTATAGAGAAAAAACTGATTTTGTTCATTTTTGAAGCTCTTCTCTAATGTGATATTTGATCATAGAGTCTGCAGCCAGACCAGCAGATGTGGTGATAGTTGAGACTTTACTCAACTTGGGGGGGAGGGAGTTGTGCAGGATGGTCCCAGTGTGTTGATAACCCAGAGAAGTTGAGAGCACATCTTGGTACAGTATAAACACCTGGACAGACATAGGATTAGTGTCCCTCTGCTTCACAAGAACAAGTCTGCCCAGGTGACACTACAGAAAAGTCTGTTGGCTGAAAGATTCTCAACAGTCGTTTGAGGTAACATCCACTGTGTACTGCTGCTCTATGTGTTATATGCATGAAGCTTGATAGCTTCTGTTCTGTTCTGTTCTAAAAGCTTTTTCTCACCCAAAATATTCTGCAACTGAAACACTATTCACACAAAATCCCTCCCTATACCAGACTAAACCACTCGAGCCTTGTCCCGAATGTTATTTAACAATAAAAGTGACTGACCACTCAACAAACTGGACTACTTAACTACCATGACAGATTGTCTTAACTCTTAAACAGTTCAACAAATTGGACCCAAATGAAACAAACAATTACAATCATTTTATTATGAAAAGATGAACAACAGGACAATGAAGACTGCCTGCAACTACCGAGATAATTATTGTGACACAAACAAGTTATACTTTATTAGCAAGAGTTGTGACACAGTACAGTACAGTACAGTACAGTACAGTACAGTACAGTACAGTACAGTACAGTACAGTACAGTACAGTACAATACCAGTAGAGTACAGTAGAGTACAGTACAGTAGAGTACAGTACAGTACAGTACAATACCAGTAGAGTACAGTAGAGTACAGTAGAGTACAGTAGAGTACAGTACAGTACAATACCAGTAGAGTACAGTAGAGTACAGTAGAGTACAGTAGAGTACAGTACAGTACAGTACAATACCAGTAGAGTACAGTATAGTACAATACCAGTACAGTACAGTACAATACCAGTACAGTACAGTACAGTACAGTACAATACCAGTACAGTACAGTACAGTACAGTACAGTACAATACCAGTACAGTACAGTACAGTACAGTACAGTACCAGTACTATTTGCTTTTAAGTTGATGGCATCAAAATGAAATACAGTAAGACCCCCAAAGAGGAACTTCCATTGGTCAGAAGCCCCCATTAGTTGGACTAGGGTGCGTGTGTCTGCCATCACTCACCCTACACCTCAGTCATTGATAATACTACTTGTGTAATGTTTAGTTGATAAGACTATTGCTTTTACAGAGTGTCTGGACATGTATTGTGATCAAGGATATTAAATACATTTCAAGATGACAAGTGTCTATTATTTTGACCCATAAACATTGACTCAATTTCAGAATTGGTAGTAACCTCTGATATGCCACCTTACGTCCTTGATTCCAACAGTGATTAAACCAAGAGATAAATGCTAGTTTTAAGTGTAATTGTACAGATAAATTGAAGTGAAAATAAATAGTATAAGTGAAACTACAGTAAAGTAAGTTTAAGCAGCTCCTCTTTGTCCTCCAAGTCAAGATTCATCAAGATTTGTCTGCTCCAATAATCTCAAAATTCAGCCGCTACAATGTAAGTACAGTACACTGTTAACAAGTATTGGTAACTTTAATTAATTTTTTAATGTGATTTTTCAGCAAAATGGTGGTCAAAATTACTGGGCGGGGGGCGGGGGACTGACTTAGACTTGCAGTAAATTAAAAATTAGAACGGTTTAGAAAAATGAATAAAATTACCAGTCATAATCATCAATTGACGATGAAGGCATAGACCCATCATCCTCCAACTGCTTGAGGATGCTGCTGGTATCTTCATCCTCCAGAGACGCTGACCCCATCTTGTTCTTCATAAAGTGAGCGTACAGTTCTGGGAGAGTGATGAGGAAGTTCACCTTCCGCTGTTGCCTCTTAACCTGACCAAACACAACACACAATATTAACCACAAACTAAAACAATAAATACCTAAACCTTTTCCCCAGGTCATTCTAATTAAAATTATAAACAGTACAATACAGTAACTCAGTGATTAAGCTTTATTAACACACAGGGGAAATGAACTACAGTGAGTTCTGCTATAACATCGTGTTTCGACAACGCGAATTGGCTCTAACGCGATTTATGAATAGAGGAACGATATTTGTATAACGCGAACGCTTGTTTGCTGTAACGCGATTTTTGCTTACTATTTCTCCAATTTTGTGGTATTAACTGTGAATATGGTAAAGAAGAATATCTCCAAGAAGCGTTCTGGTGATCGCATTCCCGGTGATGATCGTAAAAGAAAGGCTATAACCCTTGAAGAGAAGCTCGATGTTATCTACCTCAACAAACCCTTCTCCCCCATCAAGTTATATACATATTTTTTCAAGGTAAAGTGTTACATTTACTGTATGATTTCATTATTAGATATGAATGTAACATTTATTTAGACTGTGCTATCCTTTGTGTTAGGCTAACTACTAAATTTTTTTCGATTTCGAGTAGTAATCTGCACCTATCCCTATTTTCTCCATAAGCCCTGTTATTTCTATTACGCGAATTTCTATAACACGATGTTTTACAAGAACACAACTATCGCGTTATAGCAGAACTGACTGTACGTACTATATCATACAAGGGAGACCTTAAAAGTGAAAACATCTGTGTCATTAAACGTGGAAAAGATATTTACCCGGAACAAAACTCTTTTATACCCATAACTCTATAAAAGATTGAACATTTTAATTTAAACCTATAGATCCTAAACCTGTCATTCTCTTATATACAACTGATGTCACCTTTCCATATCACAAGACCTGTAAGCGACCCAAACAGCGCTCTCCGTTTGTTGTGGTGACACCAGTGTGACACCCTGGGGCACTCCTTACAGTTATATGGGCCAAAGTATTATTGTTGTATATGATTGGGGATAATTAGCAGAAGTATAGTTATCCCATGTTGAGTAGTGAACCCATAAATATTGATAGTACCATATGTACTACCAACAGTTCTAGTGAAGGTACCATATGTAAGCTTGTCATGTGGTGTGTTCTTTTAAATGTACAACCAGTAATGATGTAAGAAGCAAGAGTACCTGATTAGAACTGCAGAGTAAAGCCAAGGAGTTGATCCTTGTAGTTGTATGTTAATTACATCTTAAACCAAATTTAATATCATATTAATAAACCATTTTTAGGGTATGTTAGGGGTATCATTTTCCCTCAGCATCTACCTTTATTCTTGTCCAATAGATTGATACCAGAATTACAGAACCCATGTGCCCTAACCCTCGCCATGCTACTAAAAGTCAGAGGTTATGAAGTAACTATATGAAATGAAATAACTAGACAGAACTGCGTGGCATTGAGAAGTGATACCATCCTCAAGACCTGACTGAATTACTCAGAATAGGCAAACTGTACTCCAAGCTTTGTCAATAATTTGTTAAACTAAAAAATAACTCTTTCTCCCTTTTTTATTCCTTTATACAAGTGTCTTATTTTGAAATTCTAACATTAAAGTCCTGGGAAAGAACAGTGAAATATAAGTTAGGATGTAGCCAAAGAACTGAATGATGCTTTGCGCCTCGTGGCTTGGCCGCCATGCCTGTCTAGACCGCTTGGGTTAGCCTGCCTGCCACTGTCCGGGGTTTCCTTCACACCCCATGGTGGAAAAGAGAACTACATGGTCAACTGTTTTCCCACGAGGGGCGAGCGTGATATTTTTTAAAATAAATTTATACATTGCCGAGGAAGTTACAAGCCAAGTATAATACCATATTTTACGGCATATAAGATGCTCGGCCATATAAGACACACCCCCCATTTTAGCAGAGATATTTAGGAAAAAAACGTTGTGTGCATTTTCCTCCTGTAGTTGTATTAGCCCCTGTCTCATTGACAGTAGTGCTTAGGTAAATATGGGTTAATACATTTATGTTGTATAATTATATCACCCCTCGTAATTTTCCATGAGCTGCGAGGTTCATGGTCAGGTCACGTGATGGGTATTTTCCTCTAGCAAGTAGCGTCTTAAAGATGATTAGGTCAGCCATAAGAAACCGGCTCTCTGCCTCAGTTATCACTCGACCCTCACAAAGCATAGACGTGGAACCCAAGCTTCCCAGTTAAGCATGCCGTCTATTCTACTAGCCCTCACAGCTTTCAGTGATATTACGGTGTCTCCTTGTTGAAGTGCACACACTTTATTTTATTATAAATAAATGAAGAAAAGACCCTTTGGGTTTGACAACTTAACCCATAAACTCCAAAGCTGTTATATAACAGTTCCCCAAACTAGTTATATAGTCATATTTGTCTTAAAACAATATATACAGTACTGTACCAGTAAATGTGAGGGTTAAATAAAAATACCAATAAATACATTACAACAAAAAATACTGTACAGTACTGCACGGGAAAAATATGAAGTTGTTTGCAGTCATATTTCCCGCCTCTGCTGATGGCCGTGAAATATTTCAATGTGATTCTGATCTTTTAAAATGTTAGTTTTTGCATAATGTAATATAACTGATAAGTAATTTGTCTTTGTTTGTTTTATTGTGGGTAAAAATAAGTACAGGTGTATGTTAAATGAGTCCTCCAAAAGCATGAATTTGCTCCCAGAGTTTAACAGTTAATTCATGTATAATATTTCTGATAAACTTCCTACATGCTCATGTTTGAAATAATGAATGTATATATCCTTATATAATTTAGATAAGTATCTTTCTCGTTAGAAACGGTCATGCCAAAGATTAGGAATAAACTCATTTAAAAATACATCATTACTTCAGGATGAAATATTGGACAGGTTTGCAACAGCCAATCAGCTCTAACTCTTGAGGAGGGGGAGGGGCATCTTTTCTCAGCTGAGAAAAAATGTGCTATTGTAGGAGTATTCCAAGTGGCTAATGGGAGGATTATTCTAGGGTTATGTGGCATTAACTTGGTGGAGGCGGTGACTGGTGAGTGAGTGAGCTGGCTGATGCCATCTAACGGGTAAGATACATGGTGCTTGACCTGGATTGGATCTAACAGCCAGGTTGATGACGTGATTGACTGGCTGGCTGAACGATTACCCTGACTGTGCCTCGTCTTGTATGCCGGTGCACATGTGGAGTGAGCCGATGAGATCCGTCTCCTAGCACTCACTGGCTGGACACCCCAGATGCAGAATCCAACAAGTGAACCGCCTAGGACCAATTTATATATATAGGGAGTGGTGACGCGTTTAATGACGCGTCAGTTGAGTGGAGAGGGTGCATGGGGAATGTAAGGGCTCACTAGTCAAACTTAATTCCACCTCGCAACCCGGCTGGGAAAAGGTGACCTGAGGGAACTCCTCCCATTCTGACTGGAGTCACACACCACTGGTCGGTAGAGTGACCTGATGCACCGAGGCAAGGTTACTTCAGTTGATCTCACTTTCATTTAACGTTAATGGGAATCAACAGCCCCTATATGTAAGTGACCGAACTCTATCTTGTGGGTGTAAGCTTTACTGGTTTATGGGATAATGTAATGTTATGGGACTATTGAGTAGAGTAAGCACTAGAGTAACTATTGGCTTCAAAGAGTAAGTGTGTTGATTCTCTATTAAGTAATTTCCATTTTCCTGAACTGTTGGTGTATGTATGTTACGTGACCACATCCCGGTGTATCGTCAACTGCCCATCGTGGTTGACCATTCACTCTGGGGTGCTGAGGAAAGATTTGGTGCTATGCATGTGTTGTTATTTACCTTAACCCAATAACTGCAACATACATTCTAGAATGATAAGCAGAGAAGTGCGACATACATTCTGGAATTCAGAGCAGAATACCCACCTAGTACTGCTATTATGTAAACAACACAACAAGGGCAGCAACAACAGTCCCCTTTACTTCTTGGTTGAGTTTCCATGACCGAGCAAGACCCCATCAGTTTACTTAGCATTACAGCAGCATCCTTCTTGTCTGGGGTTGAGTCCCAGTAAGGACGTAACTCTAGGAAAGTTCTTCTATACCATATGTCTCTGATCTGAGTGTGAACTGATGTTGTCTAGTCTCCTGAGGCTCACCCAGGACACACACAACTCACTCTACACCTCATATAAATTTCTGTCTATGTGAGCTTAGGGCCGGGCCAGCCGTCGCCACACACAGGGAACAAAAACTATAATCATTTTCAGATTCACAAATATTTTAGGATCTTCTCTTGCATATTGTTATACTTCCTAAGTGTACTGTATTAGCCCCTGTGTCACACACAGCAATATTTACAGTACAGTATACAGTAGATGTGGGCTGCATACATTATAATTACAACACCCATGGTAACCAAACTGTCTAGTAAATACTTTCTAATGCTGAAACAAGTTATGTATGTAATGTAACCTCTTTGTCTTTCAACTGACCTCTGTGCATCACTGTCTACCAAGGTCATCAGTTTATTTACTTCAGTCATACCCAGTCTCTCAGACACACCACATGTGTGTCAATGAAGCTCACTATAACTCACTTCAACCATACTAACACTCATAGCTCGTGGTCTGAGTTACGGTGATATCACGCATTACTCGTGCATAGAATATTTTATTGACAAAAAGAAAAAAGACAATTTGGGTTTGTAAACCTAACCCAAAACATTTCATTGTGTATGTTACCAACAGTGCTGTATACAGTACAAGACCAGTCATCAATGATTACACCAGATAAATACAAGTAACATAAAGGGAAGAATATTCTAACAAAACATCATATTCATTACTTCCAACTCACCTCTAAGATTTCTTTATCCATCTTGCGTTGTTCCTCGGCCTCTCTCTCAGCCCGCCGATTCTGTTCTTTTAAAATGCGATCAAACTTTTTCCACTCTCCCTGCATTGTTCTGGTGAGTCTCTTGAGCATCCACACTTTGTCCTTCACAGTCTTCTGGCTCTGTAATAAAAGATACATCAGCCAGAGTCACGGACAGTTACAAGCAAGTACAATGTCTTCCCCCATCCACTTTGTTTCCCATCACCAAATACATCAATATACTGTATTGTATCAGCATACTAAAGGTGATTTTCAGTGACTTTTTTACGGGGATTAGCCCACGCGGGCACAGGTCACTGACCCACATCGGGGCCTAGGGGGCAAAAATGTAGCAGTACAGGTTGTACCTCTCTAGCCCGGCATTCTGTGCTCCGGAAGCTCCCGTGGTCTGGAACGATTTTAGTTTGCCCATGGAGAAAATTAATTTGAGTCTGGTACTTTCAATGTTTGGCTAAATTTGGCCTTATTTACCCTACTTTTTTGCCAAATTACTACCTGTAATAAATCAATGAAAATAACACAGATAAAGTTAAATAAAAACTAAAAACAACAGAAAAAGTTCTTATGTTCTACAGCTTCAGCTAGAGTTGAACCTGATGACTTGGCAACTTTGTCATCCGAGTAAAAACACACACAACAACATTGGCTGTCCTTATGTTTTCAACTTTACCACCACTGGTGGGTAGAATTTTTGTTTTAAATTCAGAAACATTAATTAAAATAGATATGAACAGTAAATAAATGTTGCTTTCATATTCTTATGTAGAGTAATGACGATATGTTTTCACATGTGCGCACTTACATACGCGATCTCACTTTTTTTTTACCATTAATGGTTAGCTACTTCCATTGTTCCATTTATTAACATTAAATAACATTACTTAAAACAACCATATTAATTTTTTACATTAATTTTACTACAGCCACAACCAGGGTCTTATTTTCTTCAGTTTTATATGTAGAACCAGTCAGTCACTGGTTTTGTAAACATTAACCAAAACAATGCCGTCTCGTCTCCTCGTGTGTTTTAATTTTCTACGTATTATTAATGAATTGTATTGTTCATTTTGCACACATAAACATTAATTCAATCAAAAAGACATTCAGTAATAAACAATAATGAATCTTTTGTACATAGAGAAATGACGCCGTTTACACAATTGTGCATGTCTGAACGTTGGCGGGCCGCTCAAACCCGTCGAAATTCGAGTTTCTGCCGTCGAAATTTTAAATTGTGTAGTGTTTTTTTTTTGTCCAAATAAAAATCATTGAATTAAAAACTCGCGAAATTTGAGAACCTATTGTACAACATTTAACCCTTCAATATGTCTTCAAAGAGACCATGAAGCAGTGAAAGTGGTGCTAGTGCTTCCAAGTGTATGCAAAAGTCACTATCTATCCAGGAAAAGGGTGAATTTCCATGGTCCGGAAATTTCCATGATCTGGCACCGGTCAGGTCCCGAGGTTGCCGGACTAGAGAGGTACAACCTGTAGTAGTAGTAATAATAATAATAATAATAATAATAATAATAATTATTATAATAATAATAATAATAATAATTATTATAATAATAATAATAATAATAATAATAATAATAATAATAATAATAATAATTCATGGTAAATAAAATTTTTAATACAAAATACAAAATTGAAAATAATAAAATAATAATAACAACACTGTAATAATAATAATAAAGAGCCATAAAGAAATACAAAATTAAAAAAAGATCAGAAGTGAGAAACAATACAATATATGTATGTTGTGTTGTCAATAGTAAGAAAAACAATTGAGACCCTGCAATTGTGTGTAAATGAGGCAGAAAGTCAGATCATCAGCCTGGGACTTGGTCACATATGGCAGCAGGGTCTACCATCAGACAACACATTATGCTTCCAATATCTTCCCAGGCGGTAGTACCTCCCTGTTTGGTAGCTGCCTACTACTATACTGTACACTCACTCCAAAAAGTATCTGGGTAGAGTGCATTTCTACATTGATCAAAATACAGCATAACTTAACTTATTAGTACAGCATGCCCTTAAAATTCACGGAGGACACCCAGGATGTACCCAAGAATGTTTGTGGAAGCTCTTAAAGATTACGGCATGTTTGTGACCCTCCTCCAACCTCCCCCTACTCTCTCCTGCCTCTTTTTACCAGGCAGATGAGAAGCACTTGTAGCTCCTCTGCCTTCATCATCACCATCATCATCATCATCACCATTCACATATTCATCATCATCATCCACATATTCATAAGTTTCATCATTCACATACCCGTAGTCATCATTTTCATCATATTATTCATCAATGGGAGGGGAGAGAGGAACAGGCTCTACACAACAGCCAGCAGGGAATGGTGAGTGTTACTCTACTTGTGGTACTTAAGATAATGCAAAAAAAAATTGTAGTGACAAAAAATTTAAGATTTTTTTAACATACAAAAAAGGTACCCACCCCCCTCCCCCTCCCCCTCCCCCAGGTATTCATGGATTTGGCCATTCACTGACACACACGGCTGTGGGGATTTAATTCGTGTGTCAGCCACACCGAGATGAGGTGGGGTGAGCGGGTTGATCGAGAAGCACCGGTAACTCTGGTGACCGCTCACTTTTGTGGATCTTTGGGTCAAAAATAGACACAAACATTTAAATGTCTTTACATCCAAGTTAAAAATAAAAATGATGACTTTGGGAAGATAGAACTGACAAAGTTCTACCAATAATGTAACTGTGTCTTTAATGTATCAGTGTGTGTGTATGTCTCTGTGTGTGTGTATGTATATCTGTGTGTGTGTGTGTGTGTTTATGTCTCTGTCTGTGTGTATGTACCTCTGTGTCTGTATGTCTCTGTGTCTGTGTGTATGTCTCTCTGTGTCTGTATGTACAAGTCTCTCTGTGTCTGTGTGTACATGTCTCTGTGTCTGTGTGTACATGTCTCTGTGCCTGTGTGTACATGTCTCTGTGCCTGTGTGTACATGTCTCTGTCTGTGTGTACATGTCCCTGTGCCTGTGTGTACATGTCTCTGTGCCTGTGTGTACATGTCTCTGTGTCTGTGTGTGCATGGCTCTGTGTCTGTGTGTACATGTCTCTGTGCCTGTGTGTACATGTATCTGTGTGTACATGTCTCTGTACCTGTGTGTACATGTCTCTGTCTGTGTGTACATGTCTGTGTGTGTGTACATGTCTCTGTCTGTGTGTACATGTCTCTGTGTCTGTGTGTGTACATGTGTGTGTGTGTACATGTCTCTGTCTGTGTGTACATGTCTCTGTGTCTGTGTGTACATGTTTCTGTCTGTGTGTACATGTGTGTGTGTGTGTACATGTCTCTGTCTGTGTGTACATGTCTCTGTGTCTGTGTGTACATGTCTCTGTCTGTGTGTGCATGTCTCTGTGTCTGTGTGTACATGTCACATCTGTCTGTGTGTACATGTCTCTGTGTCTGTGTGTGCATGTTTCTGTCTGTGTGTACAGTCTCTGTCTGTGTGTACACATCTCTGTCTGTGTGTACATGTCTCTGTGTCTATGTATACATGTGTGTGTGTGTGTGTGTGTGTGTGTGTGTGTGTGTGTGTGTGTGTGTGTGTGTGTGTGTGTGTGTGTACATGTCTCTGTCTGTGTGTACACATCTCTGTCTGTGTGTACATGTCTCTGTGGCTATGTGTACATGTCTGTGTGTGTGTGTGTGTGTGTGTGTGTGCATGTGTGTACCCTCAACAGTCATATAACCATGTACAGTACAATACAACATTTCTCGGCCACATCTGCACCAAACATGAAGGGTGAACTATGTCGGGTACACAATAAGGGCTGAACTTTCTTTAGGTCAAAGGTCGAGGTCAAGATCAAGGTCAAAGTTGTCAAAAGGTCAAAAAATCAAATTGGTGCTCCTGCTTTTGTCATCCCTATCAGAAGTGCTTTGTGTTGACGTTAGGTCTGGCGTCTGTTCGTGAGAGTGTCTGTACTGAACAACTCGGTCAGTCTTGTGTGATCCAACCCACCATTGATTTTTTTATTTCAACTTCTGGCCCAACTAAATGATTTACAATTCCAATGGTATTTCAAACAGAGGAATTATCCCAGTGTATGTCCGTACGAGCACAGAAGAGTTGAGTGTTGTGAATAGTTTTAGGGGAAAATTTACATAAATATAAGATAGAGAAATGTTGAAGTGAAGGGGACAGGGGAAGGAGGAGGGACACTCTTAATAAGGTGATGTGAGAACAATAAAACAGCAATAAAGATAAACATAAAAAAAAACTGTTTATAGAATCTGAGGATATTTCAGTTAGGAAAATAAATCCTTGAGTTTAGAAAAATTACTGAAAGATAGAGAGAGATAGAATAAAGATAAAGAGTAAATGTATAAATAGAATCACTTACCTGTAAAGCCTTTTGTCTGCACACTCTCATACAGCCGGTGGCCATCCTCTTGCAGTTCTGTAAAACCTCTTTCCGAAAAGATGCTTTTGACTTCTGACACCTCCCCACTTCCTTCTTGGCCATCAACACCCACAGCTTGTGTCTCCTCATGGTCAGGGCCTGCAGGTCAAGTTCAGTCAATCACAGACACATTGTGTTTTTTCTTTAGTTCCCTTTTTAAAGTGTGTCAGTACAAGAGACAGTGAAAAACATTGTCTATATCTTAATCCGTTACTTTAACATCTGACCATTATTTTTGGATGACCCTATATAAGTATATAATACTGTGCAGGTAAATAACATTATATGACCCTATATAGCTATAAGACATTGTACTGTGTTGAGTAATATAATGTACAGTTCAGTGTTGTACTGTACACATTGGACCACATCCGTGTACTCTGGGGAGTGTTTGCTTGTTGTGCTTTACACACTCTTACACACTCTTAGGTCACACTACAGTACTGTCTCTTATGATGCTTCAGATACTGTAAGCCTATAATGATTTATGAACAATTCTCGTCCGGGTTGAATGCTTAAAGAGTTTTAATTATCCTCAGATGAACCAAAGACCTAAGTAAGATGCAGCCCAGGACACATGACTAACTGCTGTACAGTATAACAAAATAACATTCCTCAACATCACTCTCTTGCCTGACCTTTGTTGCATGGGTCAAGGTGTTCATATCCTAACTCAAGAGGCCCTGTATTACCTCCTGAAGGGATGCCCACCAGATATTAAAAACTTGTCCTGATAAATCTAAATGAGATCACAAGTCTCCCTCTGTACAGGAACTTGAACAAACAGAAAACACTCAACACCAAACAGCCCTTTGAGCTGTCTAGCACAGGTATTATTCTGAGTCAAGCTGGAGGACTATATTCTTATCTTTCCTCCATCCAATAAAACATCAACTTCCTTCTCTAACACTGATACATTCAACTGACTCATTGCCTCATACAGGAAACTTATGGAACTAGTGTGAGGGAACAAACAGTCAATTAAAGAATACTGTATTGTATATAAGAGCTAAAGTTTATAGGACAATTCTGCCTACTTAAACAAATTATCCCTCACCACAAAATACATCCATCTGTGAGGCCAAGATACTGAACCTGATCAAACACTGCCACAAGAACACCACCACAAACATTACCTGAGCATCTAACTTCTTGGGCTTTTTATCCTTCTTGTTGCTTCTGTTGCGGCCCTTGACTGGTACAGTGAGGTCATCAGAGGTATCATCTGGGAAGCTGTGTAGACTGTCCTCATTCTGAGCCAACGGACTCTGGTGGATGACATAAAACTGTGTTAACACCTTTGAGTACAAAGACTTAACCCCTTGAGTATGAAGACTTAACCCCTTGAGTACAAAGACTTTACCCCTTGAGTATGATGACTTAACCCCATGAGTATGATGACTTAACCCCTTGAGTACAAAGACTTTACCCCTTGAGTATGATGACTTAACCCCATGAGTTTGATGACTTAACCCCTTGAGTACAAAGACTTTACCCCTTGAGTATGATGACTTAACCCCATGAGTATGATGACTTAACTCCTTGAGTAAGATGACTTAAGCCCCTGAGTATGAAGACTGAACCCCACGAGTATGATAACTTAACCCCTTGAGTATAATGACTTAAACCCTGTAGTACAATGACTTAACCCCTCGAGTACGATGACTTAACCCCTTGAGTACGATGACTTAACCCCTTCATGATAACCTTAATAATCTGACTCTCACTAATCACTTATCCTTAATCCAGATAGGTGTTTCATCCATAACTTGTGTTGAAAAAGGTGGAGAAGATGGCAAATCAAAAGGTATATTTCGGTAAAGTTTTGTCAACACCTCATAAATAAGTGAGTTAATTTCAACAATCATGTGAGAAATTGACACAACGACTCAGTGACAGAACCAGCAGGGTTATATCTGGTTGGGTAATGGAATATTAACTCATAGTCACACTTGTAATAAAATAAAATGAAACAAAAATGATGATAATAATGATATGATTATGATGATGATGATGATGATGATAATGATGATGATGATGATCCTCGACAAAACAGTTATTTGTTGCAGCTTTAACTCATCTAGATACTGAACATGACAGGTAAGGCATGACACAGGTTCTACTAATTCAAACCCTCACCAATGTAATTTTTTTTTCAGTATCCTAATCAGTTCACATTACTGTAACAATTATAGAAAGATTACAGACCATCATGAACATAGTCACTATATTATACAACCAATGTAATTAGTCTATCACAAATAACATATAAAGTATAGTTCAGAACAACACAGGTGAACAGATCTACAATATCTTAGGGTTTTTGAATGTTGGTTGGCTTCCACACAAGGCTCGGGGAAAGCCAAGTGCAGTCATATACAGTAGTACAGTACCTTCAATAAGTTACCATTACCAACAACAACACCACCATCACCATTACCAACAACAACACCAACACCACCACCACCAACAATAACAACACCATCACCACCGCCAACAATAACAACAACACCACCAACACCACCAACACCACCACCACCACCACCACCACCGCCAACAGTGGTCTTACCTCAGGATCAAAATCCTCTTCATCTTCTTCCTTCTTTATCTTCTGCAGTTTCTCCTTTTCCCTTTTTTCTTTATTTTTCTTTCGTCTTGATCCAGCCATAAATCGCTGATGGTCCGGATATTTGTCAACACGAGACAGGAGACCAGCACTGTAGTACAGGTAGCCCCGGTTCTGTAACATCACCATAATGTAATAATAATAATAATAATAATAATAATAATAATAATAATAATAATAATAATAATAATAATAATAACATTAATAACAATAATAGTAATAATAATAATAATAATAATGTAATAATAATAAAAATAATAATAATAATAATAATAATAATAATTCAGTATTACCCCGCTTTACACGGTTTCACTTTCCGCGATTTCGATTTCTCATTTACACGGTACCTTGCTAGAACCGGACATTCACTTTCCGCGGTGCATCTACTCATATACGTGTGAAGAATAATTTTTTTTTTATTTAGCTCATAAAATTCATACAAATTACCCGGCCAGAATATAATTTATATTGCTGGAATTCTTACAATATGATGATCATTTTGAATATAAACATCATGGATTTTGCATTAGACATACAAATTTTAGATCTAATGTAATAATTTGGTTTACACAAAGCAAATATTTTATCTTTTGTGCAAAATATATGAAGTTTACATTCAAAATATTCCCTGACCTGCAAGGAATCCAGAAATGTCAATTATATTATCCTAACTTTAGTCTGAGGTATTATTTATTACTAAACGTTAAAATCTAGTGTTTCACCCAATCATTTCTCAGAGAGGTAGGGGCCAGTGAGCTGGGAAGAGGGGGGGGGATTTGAGTCCATTATTTGAATGGACATTAACCTGGCGACTGTATTTCTCTTAAATATTAATTGTGTGAGCATACCATCATAAAATTTAGATGTTATTTTTACTACAACATAAGTATTGTGTCGGAAAAAGTGGAGTTTGGGGGTCGGGCCAGTCTCTATTGGAATTAATCCCATATGTTCTGTTGTTCCATTTACGCGGATTTCACTTAACGCAGTACGTACCCTGTGGGTTCAATTGACCGCGTAAATCGGGGTACTACTGTACAAAGTATATCTCTCCCCCCCCCTCCCCTATGGTTACCTGGTCATAAATATTGCCTCTGTAGTCCCCCAGCTTATACTGTACAGTACACTTCTCATTAATGCACCTATTGGTAATAACCAAAGGTTCAGTTCACCTAAAAAGTGAAAATACTGTAACACTTCACCCTCAAGGATGATCCACTGAAAGCTTAATGGTGCCAGATATAATGTGAGGGTTGAAGAAATTAAATTGCAATGGCTGCCTGGGGGGTTATTTCCCTGAGCTGTAAAGTTACAAGTGAACCCTCTCAGGAGGATTTGTTCCAATGAATCTGAATCTTTGCCAACTTTTGAAGCAACTTTGAGGCTACAATTTAAAAGTACTGCACTGAATCTATCCTGGTTGAGTGAGTGAGGTGTTGCTCTGCAGTAACTTACAGGGTACAGTATCCCGCTGCTCGACTATTTAGAGCTTGTTGTGCCGTGGTGTGCCAGTTGGTATAATATCCCATCAACAACCTATAAAACTCCCTCAATTCTCCATAACTTCATCAAAACTCCCTCAATTCTCCATAACTTCATCAGGTGACTTACCTCTTCATTTTGGTAAAAGTGTGACTGGTGGTGTTTACGGAGACGATGCTCCCGCAGCATTTTCTCCAGGTCAGCTGTTGTAAATCTAGATCCCCCATCATCTTCTCCATCTTCCGATTCAGACGATTCAGACGACGACGACGATGACACGAGCGTCTCCTTCAACCACTGCCTCTTACGCCGTATGCAGCTGAAGTTGTACAGATGTGATTTATCATTCTCTCGCTCTGTAAATAAACAAAAAATCAGGTTACTTTTCCTGATGAGAGAAGTTGATCTGTGAAGAATATTTATTCTATATTACTTTTCGTTAATTCAAAATAAATTGGTTTATCCAAGTCCTCCTTCAGACCCTACCCTGGCAATCATCTATGATGATCTGAGTATCACAACACTGGTAACTCAATGTGTTGTCTGTAAAAAGGTTGTTGGCAGCAACATAATAACATGCAGAGAGTGTGGAAGGCGGGTATAGTGGTGTAAATGGCAGACTGTAGGACGTTGTTGACTTTACGTGTGACACATCCCTAGGTAATCATGTAGCTGGCAAGGCTGAAAAAGCTCTACATTGAGGATGTATCCCTGGACTGTGTTACCAGGGTGATGAAAGTGTAGGGGAGGAGAGCTGAGGGTAGGTGATGAAAGTGTAGGGGAGGAGAGCTGAGGGTAGGTGATGAAAGTGTAGGGGAGGAGAGCTGAGGGAGTGGAAAGTAGGAGAGGAGAGCTGAGGGTAGGTGATGAAAGTGTAGGAGAGGGAGAGCTGAGGTAGGTGATGAAAGTAGGAGAGGAGAGCTGAGGTAGGTGATGAAAGTGTAGGAGAGGAGAGCTGAGGGTAGGTGATGAAAGTGTGAGAGGAGAGCTGAGGGTAGGTGATGAAAGTGTAGGAGAGGAGAGCTGAGGGTAGGTGGATGAAAGTGTAGGGAGAGGAGAGCTGAGGTAGGTGATGAAAGTGTAGGGAGAGGAGAGCTGAGGTAGGTGATGAAAGTGGGGAGGAGAGCTGAGGGTAGGTGATGAAAGTGTAGGGAGGAGCTGAGGGTAGGTGATGAAAGTGTGGGAGAGGAGAGCTGAGGGTAGGAGAAAGTGTAGGGGAGGAGAGCGAGGTAGGGGATGAAAGTGTGGGAGAGGAGAGCTGAGGGTAGGTGATGAAAGTGTAGGAGAGGAGAGCTGAGGTAGGTGGAGAAAGTGTAGGAGAGAGAGCTGAGGGTGATGAAAGTGTAGGGAGGAGAGCTGAGGTAGGTGATGAAAGGTGTAGGGAGAGGAGAGCTGAGGGTAGGTGATGAAAGTGTAGGGAGGAGAGCTGAGGGTAGGTGATGAAAGTGTGGGGAGGAGAGCTGAGGGTAGGTGATGAAAGTGTGGGGGAGGGAGAGCTGGAGGGTAGGTGATGAAAGTGTAGGAGAGAGAGCTGAGGGTAGGTGATGAAAGTGGGGAGGAGAGCTGAGGGAAGGTGATGAAAGGGGGGGGAGGAGATGAGGGTAGGTGATGAAAGGTGGGGAGGAGAGCTGAGGGTAGGTGATGAAAGTGTAGGGGAGGAGAGCTGAGGGTAGGTGATGAAAGGTAGGGAGAGGGAGAGAGCTGAGGGTGGGTGATGAAAGTGTAGGGGAGGAGAGCTGAGGGGTAGGTGATGAAAGTGTGGGGGAGGAGCTGAGGGGTAGGGTGATGAAAGTGTAGGGGAGGAGAGCTGAGGGAGGTGGATGAAAGTGGGGAGGAGAGCTGAGGGTAGGTGATGAAAGTGTGGGGAGGAGAGCTGAGGGTAGGTGATGAAAGTGTAGAGAGGAGAGCTGAGGGTAGGTGATGAAAGTGTAGGGGAGGAGAGCTGAGGTAGGTGATGAAAGTGGGGGGAGGAGAGCTGAGGTAGGTGATGAAAGTGTGGGGGAGGAGAGAGCTGAGGGTAGGTGATGAAAGTGTAGGAGGAGGAGAGCTGAGGTAGGTGATGAAAGGGGGGGAGGAGAGCTGAGGAGGTGATGAAAGTGTGGGGGAGGGAGAGCTGAGGGGTAGGGTGATGAAAGTGGGGAGGAGAGCTGAGGGGTGATGAAAGTGTGGGGGAGGAGAGCTGAGGGTAGGTGGATGAAAGTGTAGGAGAGGAGAGCTGAGGGTAGGTGATGAAAGTGTAGGGGAGGAGAGCTGAGGGAGGTGGACAGGGGTGGGGGGAGGGAGAGCTGAGGTAGGTGATGAAAGGGGAGGAGAGCTGAGGTGGAGGAAAGTGGGGAGGAGAGCTGAGGCAGGTGATGAAGTAGGGGAGGAGAGCTGAGGGTAGGTGATGAAAGTGTGGGAGAGGGAGCTGAGGTAGGTGATGAAAGTGTAGAGAGGAGAGCTGAGGTAGGTGGATGAAAGTGTAGGGAGGAGAGCTGAGGTAGGTGATGAAAGTGTGGGGAGGAGAGCTGAGGTAGGTGATGAAAGTGTGGGGGAGGAGAGCTGAGGGTAGGTGATGAAAGTGTAGGGGGAGGAGAGCTGAGGTAGGTGATGAAAGTGTAGGGGAGGAGAGCTGAGGGTAAAGATGAAAGAGGGGAGGAGCTGAGAGAGGTATGGATGAGTGGGAGGAGAGCTAGGTGATGAAAGTGGGGGAGGAGCTGAGGGTGGATGAAAGTGGGGAGGAGAGCTGAGGTAGGTGATGAAAGGGGAGGAGAGCTGAGGGTAGGTGATGAGTGGGGAGGAGAGCTGAGGGTAGGTGATGAGCAGAGAGGAGGAGCTGGAGGTAGATGAAAGTAGGGGGAGGAGCTGAGGGTAGGATGAAAGGGAGAGCTGAGGTGGGTAGGTGATGAAAGTAGGAGGAGCTGAGGTAGATGGAAAGTAGGGGAGGAGAGCTGAGGGTAGGTGATGAAAGTGTGGGGAGGAGAGCTGAGGGTAGGTGATGAAAGTGTAGGGAGAGGAGAGCTGGAGGTAGGTGATGAAAGTAGGGGAGGAGAGCTGAGGGTAGGTGATGAAAGTGTAGGAGACCGATGGCAGGTGAAGGTGATGCTAGGATGATATCGATAAGGTGATGAGAGAGCCCAGGTGATGTTGAGGAGACTGAGGGCAGTGATGAAAGCGTAGGGGATGAGAGCGTAAGAGGTGATGAAAGGGAGAGAAAGAGGAGCTGAGGTAGGAGATTATGGGGAGGAGAGCTGAGGTAGTGTTGGGATGAGATGGAGGCAGGTGATGAAAGTGAGGGAAGGAGATCGGGGTAGAGGTGATGAATTTATAGAAAGAGAGCTGAGAGCTGATGATTGATGAAAGTGTAGGGGAGGAAGAAAGGGTGAGAGAGGAGACGAGGGTAGTGACGAGTGTGGGGAGGAGAGCTGAGGGCAGGTGATTAGTAGGAGAGTATGAGGAAGTAGGGCTGATGGGTGATGAAAGTGTGGAGGAGAGCTGAGGTAGGTGATTAGGAGGAGAGCTGAGGGTAGGTGATGAAAGGGGGAGGAGAGCTGAGGGTAGGTGATGAAAGGGAGAGGAGAGCTGAGGGAAGGTGATGAAAGTAGGGGAGGAGAGCTGAGGAGGGAGGAGAGCTGAGGTGGGATGAAAGTGTGGGGAGGAGAGCTGAGGTAGGTGGGATGAGAGGTGGGGAGAGCTGAGGTAGGTGATGGGGAGGAGAGCTGAGGGTAGGTGATGAAAGGTAGGAGAGGAGCTGAGGTGGAGATGAAAGTGTAGGGGAGGAGAGCTGAGGGTAGGTGGAGAAAGTGGGGAGGAGCTGGGGGTGAGTGTAGGGGAGAGCTGAGGTAGGTGATGAAAGTGTGGGGGGAGGAGACTGAGGGTGAGAAAGTGTGGGGGAGGAGAGCTGAGGTAGGTGATAAAGGGGTAGGGAGGAGAGCTGAGGGTAGGTGATGAAAGTGTAGGAGAGGAGAGCTGAGGGGTGATGAAAGTGTGGGGGAGGAGAGCTGAGGGTAGGTGATGAAAGTGTGGGGAGGAGATGAGGTAGGTGATGAAAGGGGAGGGGAGAGCTGAGGGTAGGTGATGAAAGGGAGAGCTGAGGTAGTGATGAAAGTGTAGAGAGGAGAGCTGAGGGTAGGTGATGAAAGTGTAGGAGAGGAGAGCTGAGGGTAGGTGATGAAAGTGTGGGGGAGGAGAGCTGAGGGTAGGTGATGAAAGTGTAGGGGAGGAGAGCTGAGGGTAGGTGATGAAAGTGTGGGGGAGGAGAGCTGAGGGTAGGTGATGAAAGTGTGGGGGAGGAGAGCTGAGGGTAGGTGAAGAATAACCTCCAACATTAGCAGGTGATGAGAGAGGTCACAGATGCTTTTATAGCTAGCATACATAATCTTACAACCTGTCTATGTACTCTGGTAGATGATGCACTAACATGAGAACAATACAGTACAGTCAAGAGGCAGACTTACCATCTTTTGTTCTGGGGATTCCATTCTTGATTGATATCCCTCCTTCAGCCTCTGACTCTGATGCCGTGTCATAATCACTGAAGAGTTAAGACATGTTGAGTACAGAAGTATGACATAACATACAAGAGACATTAGATACAATATTAAAAATCTTAAGACTTAAAGAGTAGACTCCTGAAGCAGACCATTATACTTGTTGACTAAGTGTTTGATGAGGTCTGTGTTTGTTTGTGTCCAGAACCATTACTTGACTGTCCAAACCTTCCATCAAGGCAGTGTTCTCATCACCACACTGACTACACCAGGTCTTCTCAACCCATTTACTTTCATTACCCACCGGAGACATCAGTGCTCACCCTATTACCCCCCAGTGGCACGGTAAGTAATCAAATGTACAATAGATGATACTGTACACAAACATAGTCATAGTGTGTTTAAAAATAGAATGATCATCATTTAACCAAACAAATTAATCTCCAGATCACTCAAGTACCTGTATTATGAAACAGATACATATATGGTTTCCGATCACTTACACCCACCATATTGTTACGACCCTCCTTTCACCGCTTACCCAGCTTCCACCGCTGGTTACCGGAGGCCAGGTTGTATGTACAGAAGCAGTAGATATCTCACAAGTGTCGTCGAATTACCACTGGCTGTTCCGCCAGTCTCCGGTAATTTTCCAACGACTGTTATCAGTGTGCAGACAAACAAGAGGCAAGTACATTTCCACCAGTTCACAGAAACACACTTGTGCACTGTAGTCTGCTTTAATAGCCACTAATTCTTCACAACACTGAACACAGGGTAATGTCTTTACCACTGGACTTCTCACTTAAATATATACCAGTGTACAATTCACTTTTATATTGATCACAACAATTCCACAATACAGTACTTGCACAGCAATTATATTCAGTTGTCTTACTATGCTTGTTCTTTACACTCTCAACAGAAACAGACTCATAGGCCGCTCGTGGGTATTATTTATGTGTCTCGTCAGATGCCTAGAGCATTCTAGCGATATCCAGAAGCTGCAGGGTGGACCGAGACACACCTGGAGAGGTCTAGAATGATCTAGGCTAACAATAAGAAGTAAATCATAACAAAAATGATGTAATACATTCTAGAAAGTTCTTACATAAGTAATACATCAACATATACAAGAAAATCTTCCTAAACTTGCCAAAATAAGTGCTGCTTGGAATAGACAATGATCAAAACACCAAGTTTACAAACATCATAATACAGGTACACCACCGATATTCTTGGAACTGATGGTCCTGAACCTCCTTAATCCGGAGAAAATTACGTAACAGCATTTAACTGAACCCCCCCCCCCCCACCATCCTCCCAGCCAGGGTGAAGGTAGTTTAGACTTAAAGTTTTTATCTTATAAACTGTAGCTGACTAAACTTAGCAGAATATAACTTGCATTGTTGGAATCCTTGTAAGATGGTGATTAATTTGAGTATAAACATCACATAGTTTGCACAAGAGATAAGTTTTTTTAGTCCTTTAGTGTAGTATATTGGAGTACAAAGTGTGTACAGTAATATGTTGCTCAAAATTATGGCTTTTTCACATTTAATTTACATTTAATATTTGTTTAATTTAAGTTTCTATCAGTCCATGGTGCTTTAGAGACACAGGAGGTGTATAATTAGTGGCTCAGAGGTGTATTGTTGAATTATTATTACCTGACCTCGGTTGGTCCGGTAAATCAGATAATCCGGAAAGGTTTTGGAACCAATGGTGCCGGAAAATCGGTGGTGGACCTGTACCATATTATGCCTCGGCATAACATTATCAAATATAAATTACATGGATGGAGAAAATTCTAAGAGAATAAATTCTCATGTAAAGCTTAAGGAAGTATTGTATTGTGCAATTACAGCTCCTCCCCGACTTACAACCTACTCGACTTACGACAACCCGCACTTACGACCTGCCTCAGTCATACCAAAAAAATTTCAAATTACGTATTTTCGAGCCCCAACATCAGTATACACAGACAAAATTTTCGTTTGTAATTCACTTTAAAATGGCTGGCAAACTTAAAAGTGAGAGTTTTGTGGTGCTGAGAAATAAAATAAACACCCATTTTAGATTTTCTATGTATTATTCAAGCATTTTCGACTTATGACCTGAATTTAGATCCCTAACCCCGTCAAAAGTCGCGTAGGAGCTGTACAGTATTTACAGTTTTACATTGATTCATGAAATATCAATACCTATACAGTAATTCAAAATGGAGAGAATAAGTATAAAATCAAGCTGCTATATAAAGCAACAGACAACAGTTGGCTAACATCAGAAGGAGTTGTTAGATATCTCTCTTGTCATTTAGTTTTCTCTAAGATCATAAATAATCTGTAGTAGGCAGGGCATGAAGGATGAGGGAAACTACAGGGTAAAACATGGCAAAAAACTGATCATATAACAATAATATTATGTGCTTTGTAAATGAAGAAATACATTATTTACTGTAAATAATCCGCTGAAAAATCTGATATGCATGTGAGTGTTGCCGTCCGCTCTTAGTTTGTTTCAGCAATTAAGAAAGTACTGTACTGTATTAAGATGCTCTACAAAAAAAAAAAAAATACTCAAAGATTAAAATGGCTATGAAGTATTCCTTGTAAACTCATAACATTTTATGATGGCTACTGTATGTCTGACCACACAGTTAGAAAAGTATATTCTTTCTACAGTGAACATGAAAATGTGATGTATTATTTCTGACTGAGATACCTGAATCTTTATCCACAACCACCTCCATTACCCTCCTGGATACTGTTTCTCATATTACCGCTTTGGAGGTGATTATCCACCAGTCCAGAACCTCTCCACTGTACTACTGCTGACACTGCCACACTATACCATGAGTTATACTAATGATCTGCCTCACTATACCATGAGTAATAATAATGATCTGCCTCACTATACCATGAGTTATAATAATGATCTGCCTCACTATACCATGAGTTATAATAATGATCTGCCACACTATACCATGAGTTATAATAATGATCTGCCTCACTATACCATGAGTAATAATAATGATCTGCCTCACTATACCATGAGTTATAATAATGATCTGCCTCACTATACCATGAGTTATAATAATGATCTGCCTCACTATACCATGAGTTATACTAATAAGTCTGCCTCACTATATACCATGAGTAATAATGTGATCTGCCTCACTATACCGCAGGTTATAATAGTCTGCCTCACTATACCGCAGGTTAATGATTGCTATACCGCGAGTTATAATAATGATCTCGCATCACACCATGAGTTATATGTGATCACCACACTACACCGCGAGTTATAGCCAATGATCTGCCACTATACCATGAGGTTATAATAATGATCTGCCTCACTATACCATGAGTTATAATAATGATCTGCCTCACTATACCATGAGTTATAATAATGATCTGCCTCACTATACCATGAGTTATAATAATGATCTGCCTCACTACACCATGAGTAATAATAATGATCTGCCTCACTATACCATGAGTTATAATAATGATCTGCCTCACTATACCATGAGTTATAATAATGATCTGCCTCACTATACCATGAGTTATAATAATGATCTGCCTCACTATACCATGAGTAATAATAATGATCTGCCTCACTACACCATGAGTTATAATAATGATCTGCCTCACTACACCATGAGTTATAATAATGATCTGCCTCACTATACCATGAGTTATAATAATGATCTGCCTCACTATACCATGAGAGTTATAATAATGATCTGCTCACTACCATGAGTTATAATAATATCTGCCTCACTATACGAGTAATAATAATGATCTGCCTCTACTACACCATGAGTTATAATAATGATCTGCCTCACTATACCATGAGTTATAATAATGATCTGCCTCACTATACCATGAGTTATAATAATGATCTGCCTCACTATACCATGAGTTATAATAATGATCTGCCTCACTATACCATGAGTTATAATAATGATCTGCCTCACTACACCATGAGTTATAATAATGATCTGCCACACTATACCATGAGTTATAATAATGATCTGCCACACTATACCATGAGTTATAATAATGATCTGCCTCACTATACCATGAGTTATAATAATGATCTGCCTCACTATAACATGAGTTATAATAATGATCTGCCTCACTATACCATGAGTTATAATAATGATCTGCCACATTATACCATGAGTTATAATAATGATCTGCCACACTATACCATGAGTTATAATAATGATCTGCCTCACTATACCATGAGTTATAATAATGATCTGCCTCACTATACCATGAGTTATAATAATGATCTGCCTCACTATACCATGAGTTATAATAATGATCTGCCTCACTACACCATGAGTTATAATAATGATCTGCCTCACTATACCATGAGTTATAATAATGATCTGCCTCACTATACCATGAGTTATAATAATGATCTGCCTCACTATACCATGAGTTATAATAATGATCTGCCTCACTATACCATGAGTTATAATAATGATCTGCCTCACTATACCATGAGTTATAATAATGATCTGCCACACTATACCATGAGTTATAATAATGATCTGCCACACTATACCATGAGTTATAATAATGATCTGCCTCACTATACCATGAGTTATAATAATGATCTGCCTCACTATACCATGAGTTATAATAATGATCTGCCTCACTATACCATGAGTTATAATAATGATCTGCCACATTATACCATGAGTTATAATAATGATCTGCCACACTATACCATGAGTTATAATAATGATCTGCCTCACTATACCATGAGTTATAATAATGATCTGCCACACTATACCATGAGTTATAATAATGATCTGCCTCACTATACCATGGGAAACAACACCTCTCCTCTCTCACTTGTTGCCTCCTGCCATGAGAAACACCAGCTGCCTGCCCTCACACACTCTACACCAGTCCCTCCCACTCACCAGCTGCCTGCCCTCACACACTCTACACCAGTCTGTCCCACCCACCAGCTGCCTTCCCTCTCAACTCTTCATACCTGTTAATGGTCCCTCATGTTCTCTTGGTCACTCAACAGTCACATAAGGTAAAATATAGTCTACCCTGTTGGGCACCAGTAATGCCTTACAGTCTGCCTGGCACAGGATGCAGGGGGTGGCTCCAGTATCTATAGAAGCCTTTGTCTCCCATACAGCATCAGGTTCATCAGTGTGTGGATGTCAAGGTTGTCAGTTGGGCAGCAACAATATTCTTTACCTATGACTCTGGTGGCACCAAACTATACAGTCCAGTACTATATAGGAACTTTTCTCTCACCAAGTAAAATGCCAGGTTGATCAATGATGATCTTGTCTTTTAATGTAAACTTCCCTTTCTCTGTGGACAAGAGAGGTGTACAACATGACATTCATCACAGCAAAGGAGTCCAATTTGTGGCTCACAGACCAATTACTGTATCTAGTTGACCAACATCGCCTTGATCTTTGACTCACTGGCCCTGAAACCTTCCTCTCCTTCAGGCTGAGGTACTCTACATGTATCTAAGTATAATACCTGTACTGTACCTGAATCATGCCATGACTATTGGGACATTACATGGCAACTCAAGTTACAATTCTGAAATAAAAAGGTAAAGAACCAAACAGACAGACAGCACCACACCACTGTACCAGGACAACACAGCCAGCTCAAAACAATTCCTCTCAGCCAACAAGTTCTGACAATGTTCGGTGAAGGTAGACATCCTCACTACCATCACTGACTACACCCCATCATATAACCTCTATTCTATGTCATGTCTACTAACATCTCCCTAACAGATCAACTGCACTTATAGAGGATCAAGTCTGATGCACAGTTAACTTTAATAATTTCTATATGATTTATTATCAGTGTTGAGGAATTGATCTGCGACTCTTTCACTGTACTCGGGAGAAGTACAAAAACTACTTGGTAATACTGTATTACCTAATTGGCTGGTTGATGATGTGCTCCACATAGTTGAGGAACGGGTCCAACTTGAAGGCCTGTTCCAGACGCTGAATGTGTAGTGGCTTTGAGAACTCGGCTTCCTCCATCTGAATCATCTGTCAAGAAATAAAAACAGCTTAAAACATCAGCCTTTCTTTTTCCCAGGGTTGCCAAAAACCATTGTTTTCTTTTAACCAAACACCATTCGTTAAAGAATATGTTTTTGTTGTTGTTTTTAATGATATTATGTTGGTTTTAATAAGTTTTAAACATTTGTTGCCCTTTTTAAAAACTGTTTAATATGCTATTAATAATAAACATTTCATTCAGGATGAATTAGTAATCATTTATACTCTTTTCCATCAAAAAAATCACTATACAAAGGACAAATTTGTAATCCACAAACTTTGGTCAGTCACCCAGACTCATCCTTCATGCTTAAAGGCAAAAACTAAGTTTAAGTTCATCTTAATACATGAAAAAACTATTTGACTTTTACAGTTGAAAGTTTTAGACAATTCATTTAAGTACAGTTGGAGAGAGAGAGAGAGATGGGCAGTGACAACTTGGCTCCCCTGGACCCATATAATACATCATCTGAACACATTAGAATCAGAGGCAGCCATAAACAGAAGCAGTCACCAGTGGCAACTTGGCTCCCTTATAATCATGATTTGAAATGTGTACAGCCCTGTAAGAAGGCTTATTATCACCACTTTCACCAGTGTATAATAGTTCACACCCATGTCTATACTCACCAACCCATGGGGACATAACACATCCCTCTCTAACACCCACATTTATTTCAAATGTTTCACTTTCTTTTCCATTTACTCTTACAGTTGCCTAGCTGTTCTCATACAATGCTTTTACTACAGGTCCACCACCGATTTTCCGGCACCATTGGTTCCAAAGCCTTGCCAGATTATCCGTTTTGCCGGACCACCCGAGGTCAGGTAATAATAATTCAACAGTACACCTCTGACCCACTAATTATACACCTCCTGTGTCTCTAAAGCACCATGGACTGATAGAAACTTAAATTAAACAATTATTAAATGTAAATTAAATGTGAAAAAGCCATAATTTTGAGCAACATATTACTGTACACACTTTGTACTCCAATATACTACATAAAGGACTAAAAAAACTTATCTCTTGTGCAAACTATATGATGTTTATTCTCAAATTAATCACTATCTTACAGGGATTCCAACAATGCAAGTTATATTCTGCTAATTTTAGTCAAACATTTTATAAGATAAAAACTTTAAGCCTAAAACTACCTTCACCCTAGCTGGGAGGGAGGGAGGGAAGTTAAGTGCCCCCTCATTGTTTTGACTGGACTAAAGGAGGTGCCGGACCATCAGTTCCCGGAAAATCGGTGGTGTATCTGTACTACCCCAACAAATTATCATGCAGATTGTATAATATGGACACGAAGTAGTACCTTAAGATGTGTATTCTTATATTACTCTATTAATTATGTATAGTAAAGTATTACAGAACATGTATTAATCCTATGTAATGTTTCCATTTATTATGCACCATGTTATGTATATGTATTATCATATTTACATTTTATGTATTCAGCTTGTGAACACTGAGATCTGTGTATGCCAGCGCTGAGTGATACAGGGAGTTGAGATCGCTAGTCCTTATGGAGTGGAGGCCAGTTTATTTATTCCTCTGTATTCATCTCCCGTACGAGAATAAGAACCTATTTTCAAGATAACAAGTGTTTGCGTATACCCTCAGTAGTGTAGAACATTTTGGGGGTAACAAAGACAGACATAGATAGTACAGTATGTAATAAAATGATACAACAATGCACAGAACCTTATAGAACCTAACCTAAGCAACTTAACCAAACCTTACCTAACCTAACTTAAAGTACGCACAAACAGTGCTTTGACAATGGACACCAATTAAAGCAACTTTCTTGAAGCAGCATGGTGTAATTTTATGTTTTTTGTGGCTATAGGAGTACACTCGGACACAGCGGTTCGGTTGTTGCACTAAAACAAAGAGCAGACGAGAACACGCACCGACACGGCACAGTTTTTGGCGGAATATTTTCAGTAAATAATTAATTTCTTCATGTACAAAGCACGTAGAGACATCATTTTAGTATCATAAAATTTGTTTTTCACTATTTTACCCCAAAATTTTCTTCATCCTTCTTACCCTGCCCACTACAGGTGATCTGTGATCGTAGATAGGAAAAAAATAAATAATTATAAATAAATTAAAAGTTGTGATATCATATTTTTTACTTACTACTGTACTATCATCCAAAGAATATCTGCGTAAAAAATTAAAATAATCGAACAACTCCGTCTGGTGTTAACTGTCTGCTCCACTATTACTAAACTTTCTATACAGTACAGGTGCTCCTCTACTTATGAACAAGTTATGTTCTTGAGGCTTGTTTGTAGGTCCAATTGTTTGTAAGACCAACTTTACTCCTGTAGATACCAAACATATTGTAAAAAAATTAAAAGATTATGGATATTTAGTACAGCGATACCCTTTAATACAGCCTTAAAACCTGGCTCCCTCTTCTCCTCTTAGGTAATGTTTGTTCTATCTGGAATTTTCTTCAAAATAATCAAGTCTCATCCACATTAAACACCTGTTCTGGCAGGTAACCCTCCTCAGTGATGATGTTTGTATCTCTGAAAGTTTGTAAGTTGAACGTTCTTTAGTAGAGGAGCACCTGTACAGTATAAGACAGGAGGATGTATGCAAGAGCCAGAAGCCAAGCAAAGATAGAGTGTAGAAGGGCTGAAAAGGAGTTCCAGAGGCTGGTTGCAAGCGAGGTCAAGTCAAACCTAAAGGCGTTTTACCCTTATGCAAAGTCGAAATTGAAAAAGCGAGTAGGGTATCAGACCTGAGGCTTGAGGATGGTAGTTAAGCAGATTCTGACCAGGATAAAGCTGAGGCATTGAACAGCTTCTTTTCCTCGGTGTTCACAAGAGAGGATGCAACTAACCTTCCTGCGTTTGAGGACAGACGGTTCGACACAGCACTGACCCACATTGTGTTCACAGAAGAGGGTATTAGAAATAAACTGTCCAGGCTAAAGGTCCATAAGAGTCCCAGCCCTGACATGGTGCATCCTAGAGTGCTAAGAGAGTTGTGCAACGAGCTTGCAGAGCCCCTGAAGATCCTGTTTTGTAAATGCCTGAATGAACAAATGGTCCCCAGTGAATGGAAAGTGGCTTATGTGAGTCCTATTTTCAAGAAGGGCGATCGTCACATAACGAACAACTATAGACCGGTGAGCCTGACCAGCATAATATGTAAAGTACTTGAGAGTATTATCAGAGATTTCCGCAATGGAACATCTAATACGAAACAACCTTGTAAAGGATTGCCAACACGGTTTTATGCCGGGGCGCTCCTGCTTAACACAATTGCTCAAGGTATTGGATATTTGGACCCATATTCTGGAACGGGGTGGTAATATCGACAATATTTACCTAGATTTTGCCAAGGCTTTCGACAGAGTACCCCATGAAAGGCTGAAAATCAAACTGGAAGGGTACGGAATTCGGGGAAATGTCCTTGCGTGGATAGAAGACTTTCTACATGACCGCAAGCAGTGTGTGGTGATTAATGGCACGAAAACGTCATCCGTACCTGTCACAAGCGGGGTACCACAGGGCAGTGTATTGGGCCCACTGTTTGTTTGTTTCATAAATGACATGCCTGACGTTGTACACTCCTCCATACAAATGTTTGCAAATGACGCCAAGTTATTTCGGGAAATTAAGAACCAAGCGGACTATGAAGAGCTCCAGAAGAACCTCTGTGGGCTCCAGGAATGGACGAAGAAATAGCTGCTGAGATTCAATGTCACGAAGAGTAAGAGGATGCACCTGGGGCGTACCAACAGTAAGAAGGCGTATCATATGTCCTAACGGGATGAAGAAACTGCACTAGTTGTGAGTGAATGTGAGAAGGACCTAGGTGTGTATGTTGACAATGAGCTGAAGTTCTCGGGCCATTGCGAGAAGGCAAACCAGGCAATTAAATTATTGGGTCTTATAAGAAAGTCGTTCAGATATCTAGACGATCTGTCCCTAGTAACGATCTTCAAGAGTGAAGTGCTTCCCCATCTGGAGTACTCTCACCCCGTCTGGTCCCCGAGATATGCTAGGGACTGTCAGTTGGTTGAATATGTTCAAAGGAGGGCCACCAGACTGGTGCCTGCCCTTCGGCACCTCAGTTATCCTGAGAGATTGGAGCGTCTGAACTTGCCTAGCTTATACTACAGACGGGCAAGGGGTGACCTAATTGAGGTGTATAAGCATCTCAAGGGGCACTACTCAGTCGAGTGTCCTTACGTGGAGTTGACGTACGCTCACCCCACAAGGGGTCACAGCTCAAGATTGAAGAAGCCTCAAGTCCAGAAAACTGTGAGGGCAAACTTTTTCGGAGTGAGAGTTGTAAACTCTTGGAACAATCTACCAGAGAGTGTTGTGACGGCACCGAGTGTGAGCTCTTTCAAGACAAGACTTGACCAACACTGGAGCGGGTTCAGGTACATTCAGGAGCCGGTGCATGCCCAGTACTTGCCAACAGTGCGTGACAGACGTGACCAATCGCCCGGGCAGCTAGCGAGCTGATCTTTTGGCGAAGAGGATAAAAGTAAAAGTATTTCTTAACATTAAAATATAAAAAAGGAATGAAAATTTGCAACATTTGCTTTTCATACTTTTTGGTCCCAAACACAGATCTATATCAATGCGCTAACCTAATGTTATGCCATGATTCAACATTGAGGCTTCTGTTCCATACACACAAAAACTGGCAACTTTAGACAGTTTTGGTACAGTACAGCTACTCCCTGACTTACGACAGGGTTAGGGACCCAAATCCAGGTCGTAAGTCAGAATGGTCGTATGTCGAAAATGCAAAAAATAATAATACATATAAAATCTAAAATGAAATACAGTACAGTAAAAGTAATCAATAATGAAGAATGGATACAGTGACTGTGCACTTACCTTTAATGTAGTCAGTTGAATGCACACGGGGCCCCCAGAATTTTGTATTTACAGGTATACATGGAGACTATATTAATTGGATGAAGCAGAGGAGGAGACAGGGCTGGGTGGGTCATCAATGTCGCTTTCTTCAGAGAGGTTTATGTACAGGGCAAACTTGCTAGTTGAAGGTATTGATATCTTTAGGGAGTGAAGAGGCAGCACTGGTGGGGCATGAGGAGACAGCAATGAGGGACTTCTTAAAATAGATGTCCAATTTAGACTGCACAGTTTGCTTTTTCTTTTCATTATAAATCTCCCTGTAGCAAGCAAGTGCATCTTGGACCATTCTGACAACTTTGGCAAAACGCTCAACATTTTGATCCATTCCATCAAACATTTGCATCCCCTTATTAATTGTAGCAAATGCCTCAGCTATTTGCTTCACTGAAAAATTTTTGGGGGGTGCAGGTTCTTCTTCTACATTTACTCTCTTCTTCCTCTGCATTTTTCTGTGCTTCCAGTTCGATAAGATCCTCGTTACTGAGCTCTTCTGCTACACTTTCAACCAACTGCTCAACATCTTCATTATCAATTTTTAACTCAAGCTGTTTACCCGACTCCACTATCTTGTTACTAATCTCAGAAATTACTTCATCTTTCTTAAATTCTCTGAAACTGTTCACATATCTTTTCAGGACTTTCTTCCATATTCCATTCATGCACTGACCTGTAACCTCACCCCATGCTGCACTAAAATTCTTTATACATTTCAAAATGTTGTAGTCCTTCCAAGACTCTCTGAGCGTTTTCTCACCTTCAGTAGCAGCAACAGCCTGAGCGAAGGTCATGCGTAAATAATACGCTTTAAAGGTTGGATGATAGAGGTAGTGTTAGGTGGAATGTACACTACCTTAACATCAGGGTGCATGTCGTCCAGGTGTGGTGGGTGTCTCGGAGCATTATCCAAAATTAACAAAATCTTGAATGCAATCCCTTGTTGCAGACAATACTCCTTGGCTCGTGGAATGAAAAAAGTCATGAACCAACCCTCAAACAGTACTAGGGTCATCCAGGCTTTCTTGTTACTTCGATAAAACACTGGCAGTGTGTGCATGTTGACATGTTTAAAAGCCCTGGGGTTCTCTGAATGATAGATCATGAAGGGCTTTATCTTGAAACCAGCTACATCCTCCTCCCCCCAACAGAAGTGTAATTCGGTCCTTGAATGCCTTGAATCCTGGCATTGTTTTCACCTCTTTATGGATGTGTGTCCGTTCAGGCATGCGCTTCCATAATAATCCAGTTTCATCCACTTTGAATATTTGCTCAGGCAAATAATTTCCCTCCACGATGACACGATCTAGCTCCTCCTTAAAAGCTTCGGCAGCACCAACATCAGCACTAGCTGCCTCTCCACTCACCTTTACATTATGTAAACTGTAGCGGTTCTTAAATCTGTTAAACCACCCATGACTTGCTGTGAAGGTTTGGTCTCACTCATCTCCTGCCTGCTCCTTCAGGCTTTCGAAAAGGCTTCTTGCCTTAGCCTGTAGGGTTAGAATGCTTAAGGGTAAACACTTTTGTATCTGGTCTTCCATCCATATCACAAATAATTTTTCCATCTCATGAATGGGACCTTGTCTTTTCTTCATTATTATAGTTCCTGTTATAGGTGCTGATCCTTTTACTACCTCATGAATATGTTCCTTGTCCTTCAAAATACTTGTAGTAGATATAGTTGAGTGCGAGAAGCCTAGGTCACGTGAAATGGTTGCTACAGTTTTTCCATTTTCACACTGCATTATTATCTTTATTTTCGTCTCAAAAGTAATTGACTGTCTCCTTTTCTTCTGAGCACCACCAGCACCCTCACTTCTATGTTTCCAGTCATTCTAAAGTAAACTAGATACGAAAATAATGTCAGTACACAGCACGATCAGTTGCGGATACAACGACAGCCAAACACCAACTAAGTGCTCTACGGCGTGGGTGCTGTAGCCACGAGGCGACCCAAGCCACTCGACGCTCTCATAAGGGATGGAAACATTTCAGTCTAGAAAATATGTGCGTCATTAGAACAAATTTTTGGTACTGACCGCGGCGGTCGTATGTGCGGGTGGTCATACCGACTGAGGCAGGTCGTAAGTGCAGGTGGTCGTAGGTCGAATATAAATTATTTCTTATATTATCATCACCTTCACTACGGGGACGCCACTTTTAATATTTTATTTCACTATTGCCAGTCGAATTTATTCACTTCAGAGTGGCCCCGTACATAAAGGGATAATGTAGTGTACAGTTGCCAGCAAAGTTCACCCACAGCCCTGTGAAGCCAGTTTGTGGGAGGACTTTTGCTGGCAACTGTACAATCAAAAAAATAACATGAAATTTCAAATTTCTTATTATTAATTTGGCGCTTTTGCCTTGAAGAGTGTTTCATATTTACAAACACTTCCCAGCAACCAATGATTTACTGTAAATAAGTTAAACCAAACAAAATAACTTAACCTAACCAACCTAACCTAGGATGTCAGGGTATTATCTAAGATAATGTTATATTAAGTTAGGTTAAATATGTAGGTTAAGCTAGGTTAGGTTAGGTTTGGTTAGATAGGTACATTAGGTTAGCTTAGGTTAGGTTAGGTTTGGGTGTTATTTTGGAAAATCGCATATCAAAAGTTTAACTGCAAATTTAGCGCTGTTGTGTGTAATCAGCCCGTACACACGAGGACGCTATATGTGCAGTTAAACTTTTGAAAAATAAAATTTAATAAGAGTTGTAATTCCTCAATAATATTAGAGATATTATAAAGATAAGAACAAAATTTCCTACCATAGACATTCCTCCTAAAATTGTTTCGTCATATGAATTAGTGTTCCAGAATATTACTAACATGAATAATTCTATTTTAGTGTTAAGTATTTATGATTCGCAGTGGATATTTTGCCTTGACCGGCCAAGTTCCTACTAACGTTATTTACCGTGAGTGCGCTCTGATTGGCTAAGTACTTTCAGTTTAATATGACGGGGAGTCCGCCCTCTGGCTAGGAAGTTAGTTAAAAGTTAGGTAGGTTTCTTTGGTTGGTTAGGTCAGGTTCTATTAAATTCTAGTTAATGTAGCCTCTTTTATAATGATAAGAACATGTGGAAAATATTTACAAAATCAAACAACTCTTTCTCGTTAGGTACGTTTACAGCTACACAACGATCGAATCACGGCACCAGTCACATATCTTTCTCGTGTTGTTCGTCGGTAATGAACGATTAGCCAATCAGAGGGGAGTCATGGTAAAATAGCGTTAGTAGGTACTTAGCCGATCAAAGCAAAATATCCACTGGCTCTACGTCTTGCGTAAAGTTGAGGACAAGTGCTTCTGTAAATAACTTAAACCAGGTCATTTTATATACAGGATAACCTAAGTTCCAATCAATGATAATTTTTCTTCAAAATCCTAACTATAAAAAAAATTATTTAAATAAAAAATAACCAGAAACAACTACAGTATTACCTATAAACCACCCCAGAGGTCATCTTGTGTCTTGGGGTCACAACACCTCACTAATATACTAATTGATGCTAAAAGGAAAATAAAGTACAATAATATTAACCATACCTTCTAAGAGAATTAACCAGTGATCTTAAATGACTTCAGTAACATAGGTAAGTATTAAAGGCCACAGTGATAATAATAATGATATAATTCCCAGGAGATGATGTTAGAGGAAATAAGTAGTAATAATAGTTTAATTATATGATCAGTAATAACATGAAGGAAGATAACTACCTCACATAGCTCCATAACTAACCCATTATCTAACCACCACAAGACATACACCCTAATGATAACATAGTGGTTAATGAAGGCCACAGCTAGAGTTAAAACATAATACATATATATATTAAAACACCGAGAATACACATTACTATCACCTTAACACCTAGTAGTAGTGTGGTAGCCTGGTGTAGGTGAGAGGTGGTGGGCCAGGAGACAGCAGCAGGAGAGAGAGAGGGAAGGAAAACGGTAAGAAAATCTTTATTCGCCATCATCATCATCATCACCGCCGCCATCATCACTAATTCCTTCCTCTCTCCCTTTATTCCTCTATTTCATTCACCTTATATTAAATTAAATCATAATATTAAATTAGTTATAATAAAATAAGATTAATTTAACTATTTTTCTTAGGTATTAATATATGAAGCATTATTGAAGTCATATAGGCTCAGTTAATACCGGGATATTTAAAAAACCTCCTATATATTCCTATATTACACCAAGACCGATATTTAATCCTGGCTAAAAATAAAAAATATAATATCTTAGTAGTATTAGAGAGTTAATTTATTTACTGGTAGTTTATTTTTGGGAGTATTAAGGAAGAAATAATGTTAGTGAAGGGAGTAACGAGTCTACCTTGAGGACCCGGGGCAGCAGCAGGTACTGTACTAGTGACTCTCTTATTCTACTATATTTACTCTATTATCTCTCTTTCTCTCTTAAGTATGATATATAATTAATCTTAAATAACTCATTTTACTCTTACATAGTACCATAGGGGTTATAGGTGTGTGGTAATTGTTAAAAAGAGTCAGGTTGATGCTGTTGCCTGTTAGTCCATACCGCCATGTAATCAACGCTTATATAACGTTAAATCCTTAATATTCTACACTTATTTCCATTAATATTATGTCATATATCATTACTGTAGCATATTTTTATGTATATAATTAAGCAGTAGGTGAGGTGTGGTGTACCCAGGAGCCAGGAGAGAGGTTGTGTGTGTGTGGTGGTCTTCACGCCTCCTAATAACCTTAATACATTCCTATGATATATTAAACTACTACACACACACACAGGATGGCTGGTTGGTGAGAACTGTAGTCATGTAGTGGTACTGTACAACGTGGTAATGCAGTACTACAGCTAAACTAAAGTACTGTATTCCGGTAATTATTAAATCAACTGTTGCTTGCTTAATACAATTGTTCGACAAAAATAATATTTCCATAATGAACAGCCATAAACACTTTCCAAATGTGTTTATTTTGAGTTTTCTCCATAAGTTTTCCTCCACAAAGTTCACTTGGTAAGGTAGTATTCTGGAACAGACTCCTCTGTGACCATTACGGGAAATTAATAACCCAAATAAGTTTGGTATTATTATCGATTCGGTCATGCAGCAAATTTTGGGATTTTAACTTTAGCATTGGATATTTTGCTGTGACCGGAAAGTTCCTACTAATGCTAGTCTACCTGGTAAATGTTACTTTTAGTCGTATTATCTTCTAGCGACTCAAAAGTATATTTTTGCGATGTATTTTGCTGTGTCTTAAATGAATTTTACCTTCAAAACTGTCACAAGTAATTTGTTTTTGAGTTATGACCCCCCCCAACCCCCAACAATAATAGGGACCCCCATGGGGGTTTTGGGTGGGGGGTGGAGTAATAAAACGAATGATTTGCACCAGTTTTGAAGGTCAAATTCATTCAAAACACATAGGAAAAGCATATTTTTCATCACTAAAATGTGCATCCTAACCTAACGGGTAGAAATTCGCATATGCCCGGTCGCCCGAGGCGACCAAAATATCATAAGGGCGACAAGATTTTACTATTTTGCTGGTCTGGGATTGCCCAATGGGCGAGTGGGCCGATGACAGTGGTAAGAGCAGGCAGGTAAAGGGGAGGCAGAAAGAGCACTTAGCAACTGAACAAAAAGCAAGCACACCGCCTTAGCATACTGTTTAGAAATGCGCCTTGATGTAGGTAATACATACATAAATGAGAAGAGTGCCCCATTGTTTATTCATGCCATTGCTGATGAGCAGCGGCTTCAAATTAAACAAGAGTACAACAGTGTCAAGATTTTGTCTTTAATCTGCGATGGAAGTACTGATAGATCTGTAAGTGAAGTGGAGATCCTGTACACTCGCTGGGCCTATAAAGGAAATATACAGGTAAACTTTGTTGCTGTAAAAAATATTGAGAGAGGTGGTGCTGCATCTATCAAGAAATGTGTTTACTCTACGATGAATTCATGCTATGGCGAAACTTGGAAGCAGAAGCTAGTTGGCATTGGTACAGATGGGGCCAGCATTATGACTGGGTGCAGAAATGGTTTAGTCGGTCTGACTAATTACCCAAATGTAGCCACAATGAAGTCAAATGATGGTCCTACAAGCGTAAATCGAGCTGTGAATCATTTCTCGATTAGTATTTGGTGTCATAGTCACAAAAAATTGGTAAACTTAATTTAATCTGAGTTGAGTTAGGTTAGGTTAGTTTAGGTACATGCACTCGATCTATTAACTCAGATTAAATTAAGTTTACCAATTTTTTGTGACTTCGTGACACCAAATACTAGTCGAGAAGGATTGGCAGTCCGATTTATTCATGTAGGACCATTATTTGACTTCATTGCGGCTACATTTGGGTTCATTTGGGTAATTAGTCGGACCCGGTTTAGTTGCTCGATTGAGAAGAGATCTAGAGAAACCGGAGTTGGAAGGCATCCATTGCACTGCACATAAAATTGAACTGGCTTACAAGGATGCAGTAAAGGATGTTCCACTAGCCAAAAAGGTTGACTTACTGTATGAAAAGAGTTCTCTCAACAGGAGCATGTTGAAGCATGCTCATGACATATGTTAGGTACCATTTCTGGTTCCAACACGTGTGGGTGGTACAAGGTGGCTCCCACATGTGCTGCAGGCATTGGAGCATCTACTGAAGAGTTACAAGGCTATTGTACTCCACATGCAGCAGATACAGAACTCTGATGATCCCTCGTACCACAAGGATACATCCAGAAAAGCTAAGAACTACCTGCTCCTTGTGTTGACATAGTCCAGTACCTTCACCTTCTACTGGATGTGGTGCGGTGCCTTGGGGGCCTCTCAGAGCTGTTTGGTCAATCCAATATTTCTGCTATCTTGAATGAAACTCAGACTGCAGTTGATGTACTTAACAAATATTTGACTTGGCCAGGATCCAGCCTGAGAAGGATTATGGAAGGTGACACGACCATGTTCCAAGGAGAGAAGCTGAGTGGTAGAAGCAACACTTTCAAGACTGCAAGGCGTGATATGCTGACATCACCGATTTCAAGTCTTAAACAAAAGATTTATTGACATGGCCAGTACGATTCTCCAGAACGCATGGATTCTGAATTTCAAATTGTGGCGTGCAGTGGGAATGAAGATTTCGGGGATAGAGCTGTGCAAGCGTTGGCCCAGGCTCTTGATGGAGGCAGAGGTGAATCCTACTTTGGTAGAGGATGAATGGACTGTGCTCAAAAGTTACATTTACAAGAGTAAGACATCACTTGTTTCAAGACTGTCTTGGCAACAAATCAACCAATCATATGGAGAAAGGTGTGCCTCATTTCTCCATCTGGTTGACCTACTGCTTTCCATTCCAGCTAGTTCGGCTGATGTTGAACGTGGTTTTAGCCAGGTCAAACTGGTTAAGACAGACTGGTGCAGTCGTCTCACTGATGACCACATGGCAGATCGCATAGTGGTTCACTTGCAAACAGAGAGTGTTGGCAACTTCAATCCGGACAAAGCCATTGCCAGATTCCTAACAACTTGGGACCGCCGTGTGGATGGCTACATTCACACTGCTGGCTGCAGCACAGTGGAAGATCTGGATGACAACAATGAGTTGAACGAGGAGCATGTACAGGAAATGCTTGTTCAAATGCAATGAAAAATCTGTGTTCCATGCATTTAATTAAGTTAATATGTGATTATTCCAGTGTCGGTTTTATGATTTAACATGCTTTCTACGAGTAAATAAATGTCACACAGTAAATATAACGTTTTATAAACCCGATAAGTGCCAATGTTTAATGTTTCTTGACATTGTTTAAGGGCTTGTAAAAATTTATAAGGACTAGTAAATTTTCAAATCTACTAGTCCTGCTGGCGACTATGAAAAAATGGTGAATTTCTACCCCTGCCTAACCTAGATAAATGTTACTTTTAGTCCTATAATCTTCTAGTTACTCAAAATGTGATTGGTCGTGTGCAGAGCTGTCCAGCACATGCGCAACTGGATTTCTGAAGATGACAGCGGGTCACCCGATATTGGCGACATGTCAAGGTTAATTTCCTAACCAAAACTTTCGAGAGCCATATCTTTTTTATTATTTGTTTGTGACGGAAATATCATAGAAGAAAATTTTCTTAGAATTACCTGTAGATTTCACATATGTTGCCAGATTTATCAAACAACTATAGGACTAACGTTAACAAATACAGTAAAAGTCCAGAAATCCGGGTGCCAGAAATCCGGACCACCTGAGAATCCGGACTTTTCGAAAACTCAAATACAGTAATTATTATTATGATTTTTTTTTTTTAATAATTTAGCTGGCTTTTGTGTGTATGTGCGCATGCTTGAGCACCACAGCTGCACAGTGACAACAAGCGACCACGCGGTTGCCACTTTAAAACGAGCAATCAAACTCTGACAACGTATGTAATTTTGAGTCCTACTCTTTCCTTTTACAGAGTACTGTACAAGCCCATAATAATGGCTACTTAAGTAGATAAACTTCGTTGTGTGAAGAGAAAGAAGAACACGTTGAAATTGAGTGACAAACTTGAAATAATTAAGAAACTAGAACGTGGTGTGAGCAATACTGTTCTAATGGAAACATACGACATTGGAAAGTCTACAATTTATGATATAAAAAAGGCAAAGAATAAAATTCTAGAATTCACAGCTTTTTCTTTAAAACTGCTCGTTTTGATAAATGAAGCATGCTATATTTGCTAATGAATAAACTATCAAAATGTACCTGTTCACCTCTTCTTTATTCCTCCTTAAATTTGAATTTTAGAAGTACTGCCTGAGAATCTGGAAAATCCGAAAATCCAGACCGACCCAATCCCCAAGCAGTCCGGATTTTTGGACTTCTACTGTACTGTTTACTGTGAGTCCGCTCTAATTGCCTAATCATCCATAACCGGAGAACAACGTGAGAACTATGTGACCGTGACTGGCGGCACTTGGCATTGATTTTGCCCCGAGTTGATCGTTGTGTAGCTGCAAACATACCTATACCTAACCATATTTTTGTTGTGCGTGGAAATTGAGGCAACATTAACAAGAACCTGACCTAACCAACAAAAGAAACCTACCTAACTTTACCTAACTTCTAAGCCAAGGCTACACCATTTATCTGTACCTTACTTTTCCATATGTGCTGATTGGTTACCTTCTTTCTTGCACTGTGATCGGTTACCGTTTAACGTCACAAAACCATTTTCTCGTTGACAATACAGAAAATGTGATACTACAGCTCCTCCCCTACGTACTACGGGGTTAGGGACCCAAATCCAGGTTGTAAGTCGAAAATGCTTAAATAATACATAGAAAATCTAAAATGGGTGTCTTTTTCTTCTCAGCACCACAAATTTCTCACTTTT